AAAATGTTGCTACATGACATGTTTCTGGATGACCATCAGACTACTAACTCAGCAAACCAATAAACTTCTTTACTCTCACAAATGTACAATATATTCAGGTGGGCGCCACAGTAGCTCAGTAGTTAGCACTGCTGCCTCACAGCGCCAGGGACTCGGGGTTCAATTCCACCCTCAGGCGACTCTGTATGGAGTTTGCACATTCTCCCCGTGTCTGTGTGGGTTTCCTCCAGGTGCTCCAGTTACCTCTCACAGTCCAAAGGTGTGCAGGTTAGATGGATTGGCTATGCTAAATTGCCCATAGAAATGCAAGGATAGGTCAGGGGGTGGGATGCTCTTCAGAGAGTTGGTGTGGACTTGATGGGCCAAATGGCCTGCTTCCACACTGTAGGAATTCTGTTCTATGAATGTTAACTTCAGAGGTCCCAGTTTAGCTGCAATAATGTAAAAATATTTTAAAAAAAGAACATGCTACTTTCAGAACCACTGAATTCAGGGAATTAAATTCACAGCAGTGTGGCTCAAGGATCGGTGCTGGGTCCACTGCTTTTTGTCATTTATATAAATGATTTGGATATGAATATAGAAGGGATGGTTTGTATATTTGCAGATGCCACCAAATTGGTGGTGTAGTGGACAGTGAAGAGGGTTGTCTGAGTATATTGGGACCTTGATCAGATGGGCTGAAGAGTGGCAGATGAAGTTTAATTTAGATAAATTTGAGATGTTGCTTTTTGGTAAGGGAAATCAGGCCAGGACTTGTTCACTGAAGGGAACGTCCTGGGGAGTCATAGAGACATATAGCGCGAAAACAAACACTTTGGTCCAACCACATGATGCCAACCATAATCCCAAACTAAAATAGTCCCTCCTGTCTGGTCTTGGCCCATATCCCTCCAAACATTTTTTTACTCACGTACTTCTCCAAATATCTATTAAATGTTATAACTGTACCCAAATCCGTCACTACCTCTGGCGGTTCATTTCACACACGAACTACTCTTCATGTTTTAAAAAGAAAGTTGCCCCTGAAGTCCTTTTTAAATCTTTCTCCTCTCCCCTTAAAAATATGCCCCCTTGTCATGAAGTCCCCCACCCTAGGGAAAAGACATCTGCCATTATCTATATTCCTCATGACTTTATAAATATCTGAGGTCACCTCCCAACCTCCTATGCTCCAGTGAAAAATGTCCCAGGTTTCAGTTCTGGTCTCCCTGCTATATGAAAGATGTTGTGAAACTTGAAAAGGTTCAGAAAAGATTTACAAGGATGTTACCAGGTTGGAGGGTTTGAGCGATTGGGAGAGGCTGAATATGCTGCGGCTATTTTCCCTGGAGTGTTGGAGGATGAGGGGTGACCTTAAAGAAGTTGATAAAATCATGAGGGGCATATATAGGGTAAATAGACAAGGTCTTTTCCCCAGGATAGGGGAGTCTAAAACTAGAGGACATAGGTTTTAAGGTGAGAGGGGAAAGATTTAAAAGGGACTTAAGGGACAACTTTTTCACGCAAAAGGTGGTGTGTGTATGGAATGAGCTGCCAGAGGAGGTGGTTGAGGCTGGTACAATTCCAACATTTAAAAGGCATCCAGGTAAGTATATGAAAAGGAAGGGTCTAGAAGGATATGGACAAAATGCTGGCAATTAGGGCTTGATTAATTTAGGATTTCTTGTCAGCATGGACAAATTGGACCGAAGGGTTTGTTTCCATGCTGTACATCTCTGACTCTATAACTTGCCAACCAATTAGCACCCCTTTCTTTCTATAGTATAAATTGTTGTACTTGTTTGAAAATTGACATTCTTGCATTTGTCCCTGTGAGTGCAAACAAAAAGCTTCAGCAAAATGTCACTCTTTTCAGCAATATTTAAGTTCTGCACCGCCAAACAATCCTTTGTATACCTGAGGCAGAAGTTTACCTAAATTACATTTATAAATGACTGCATTGATAATTTAGATTTTGTTTGAAATTGGACATGCTAACACATCCCCATTTCCTTCAGAAACCTGGAATAAATACCAACTGGACTGGTGACTTTTCTACCTGAAGTTTATTCAGTTGTTCCCGTACCTTCTCCCTCAATTTTCACCCTGTCCATTCCTTTGAATACCACTATGGATATTTTACTATCTTAGTAAGTGACAATGCAAAGCTCTCAGTGGGTATTCTAGCCTTATAATGTGCATGCAAAACATACTATCTTTGTCTCTAATATGCCAAACTCAACCTCTTCCTATTTGCTTATTATTCACATGTTGGTAGAAATTTTTGGATTCTCTTTTATGTTAACTGGCATTCCTGTCTCTCATTCCCTCTTTGCCAGTCATATTTTTCTCTTCATCTACCAGTAAAGCTATGAAATTCATCATACACCTCAGTTTTTCAGTCATCTCCCTTGTTGACCGTGAAGGCCTGTTTTTATTTGCCCTACCTATCATCTTTTTTTTAAAAGTACCTACCTTGTACCTGAAGCACCTTTAAAGCTCACTTGTTGTTTTATTACACTTCTTAATGCCAGTCTTTGATTCCATTTTATCCTGGCTAAATTCCTTCTCATCACATGAAAATAAGGTTTCTTCCATTCAAGGCATGCTGCTTCAATCTTCCGCAGCTACACTGGCGCCATGTCCCACCTCCTCCTCCATTATATCGATGACTGTATCGGCACCACCTCATGCTCCCATGAAGAGCTCGAACAGTTCGTCCACTTTACTAACACCTTCCACCCCAACCTTAAGTTCACCTGGACCATCTCTGATACCTCTCTCTCCTTCCTGGACCTCTCTGTCTCCATCTCTGGTAACCACCTGGAAACTGATATCTATTTCAAGCCCACCGATTCCCACAGCTACCTAGAATACACTTCCTCTCACCCATCTTCCTGCAAGAATGCCATCCCCTATCCCCAATTCCTTCGCCTCCGCCGCATCTGCTCCCAAGATGAGGTGTTCCACTCCCGGACATCCCAGATGTCCTCGTTTTTCAAGGACTGCAATTTCCCCTCCACAGTGGTTGAAAATGCCCTCGAACACGTCTCTCGCACCTCAGCCCTCACACCCCCTCCCCACAATAACAACAAAGACAGAATTCCCCTTGTCCTCACGTATCACCCCCTCAAGCTCTGGATTCAACGCATCATTCTCCACCACTTCCGCCACCTGCAATCTGACCCCACTACCAAGGATATATTTCCCTCCCCACCCTTATTGCCTCCCCCTCTCTCCGCAACTCCCTCGTCCGCTCCACACTCCCCACTAGCCCCACTGCCCCCGGCACTTTTCCCTGCAACTGCAGGAAGTGCTACACCTGCCCCTGCACCTCCCCCCTCCGCTCCATCCCAGGCCCCAAGAAAACCTTCCACATTAGACAAATGTTCACCTGCACATCCACTAATGTGGTATATTGTATCTGCTATTCCCAATGTGGCCTCCTGTACATCGGGGAAACCAAGCGGAGGCTTGGAGACCATTTTGTAGAGCACCTACGCTCGGTTCGTGACAAACGACTGCACTCCCAGTCGCGAACCACTTCAGCTCCCCCTCCCACTCCTTGGACGACATGTCCATCCTGGGCCTCCTCCATTGCCACAACGATGCCACCCGAAGGCTGGAGAAACAGCACCTCATATTCCGCCTAGGAACCCTGCAGCCCAGTGGTATCAATGTGGATTTTACAAGCTTCAAAATCTCCCCACCCCTGACCTCATTCCAAGACTAGCCCCTCTCATCCCCGCCTTGACCTGTCCATCTTTTCTCCCACCTATCCGCTTCTCCTACCTCACTGACCAACCCCCACCCCCACTTCCTACCTACTCGCTTCGTCTGCCTCCTTGACCTGTCTGTCTTCCCTCCCACCTACCCGCCCCTCCCTCCTCATCGACCAACTCCCATCCCAACTCCCTACCTACACTCACCTGTACTGGCTTCATCCCCGCCTCCTTGACCTGTCTGTCTTCTCTCCACCTATCTGCTCCTCTTTCCACCTTCTATATCGCCTCCCCCTCTATTTATTTCAGAGCCCCCTTCCCCTCCCCCATTTCTGAAGAAGGGTCCTGACCCAAAACGTTAGCTTTCCTGCTCCTCTGATGCTGCCTGGCCTGCTATGTTCATCCAGCTCTACACCTTGTTATCTCTGCTTCCACTCTTTCCTTGCTTTTCTTCATTACTAACTTAAATCTTAAGTTGTGATGATCACTGCTGCCCAAATGTTGTCCAACAGACACTTGGTCTACTTCGGCCATTATATTTTGCAGCACCAGACCAAATGCCACCATTTTTCTGCTTCAGTCAAGAACTTACGAATCATGGAAATCCCCCTGAATACGTTTCAGGAATTCCTCCGTTCCTTACAGTCAGAGGCCTTTTAACTTTCAGGACAAAAACTTATGCAACCTTCCTTTGAGGCTTAGTATGGGATCTAAACAAATATTTTAAGTCATGAGGTTATAATTTCAAAATTCAAGATAAGGCAAGCTCTGCATTAATTACCCAAAAATTGATTCGGATAAAGTCCCTCAAACTCCACTGTTCCTTATCTGTCTCTCTATTTGGAGGCCCGTTGTAACCAGAATCACAAGCCCTGCATGTTTTGCTGCTTATCTCTTAATGATTGAATTGTGTCATTCTCACTTCATGGATATCAAAACAAGCTAGAAACTTGCATTTAGTGTGGAATCTTACCCTTGTTTTGTGAATAAATATGGAAGGAGTGCCTCACAGTTCTCTGACACAAGATCATTTTATCCCAATTGAGCAATAACTTTATCTCTGTGCTAATAGATTTTTGTCTGACAGAATAAATGTGATAACTATTACTTTTGCACTGCTTTGTTATAATGTACAAGTACTGAAATGGCAGAACAAATTAATAGGAAAACAAACCATAAGATTCAAAAGCTATGGAGCAGTTTAGGGTAGTAACTTTCCGTTAATGAAACAGTGTCATTTCGAAACAATATTGATGGCGAATTGTTTTTGAAACTTTTGAAAATATGTTTTTACAGAGGTCAAGAAAGTGCTGGAATTGTGACAAGTAATGGAGGCTCTCCACCATCATACATGATGCACAAGGTATGCTTTTCATTACGCAGTGGAGTGTTATTATATCATCTATAAACTTTACTGACTTCAAAATTCTTTGTAAGGTCTCCTTTTGTGTTACTCCATATTCGTTTTCAGTAAATGAAGGTGTCACCTTCCAACGCTTCTACCATGTTAGCTTAAATTTGAATTTCCAACATCAAGCCCTTTTTATAATCCAGTAGCCAACTGATTTTGCTAAAACTAAGATTGCATTTTGATTGAATGTGTGTTTTCGCAAATATGTTGGAAGATAATATGTAGTTTTTCTTTATAATTTCAGTGGTTTTGTATTCGTTTTGAAGCATGGGACATATTTTATGTGCATTCAATTTCTGTGATTAGTGTCAAAAACTGGAAAAGCTCAGCAGGTCTGGCAAGCATTTCTGAAGAAAAAAGTCAGAGTTAACGTTTCAGGTCCTGTGACCCTTCCTCAGAACTGCTGGTAGCTGGGAAGACATTAGTTTATATGCAGAAAATAGGGAGGGGGGTGGGGTAGGGAGTAAATGATAGGATAAATGATAGAGCCTGAAGAGAGAGAGAAGAGCAGTTGGACAGACAAAAGAGTTGGTAACTGTCTGACTAGGAGGGCGAATAGTTGTTAATGGGGACTGTTAGTGACTAAGAATAAGTAGCGTGTAGTGGTAGGCTAATAATAACAAGGCCTGGTGTGTCGGGTAGGGGCTAGGACATGGGAGAGTTTAGGCCCTAAAATTATTGAACTTGACATTTGAGGTGTTGTTCTTCATTTTCCCTTGTTTTCCGCTTGGGGACCCTGCAGCCCTCCAGACTCTATATAGAGTTCAGTAATTTTAGGGCCTACCTCTCCCATGTCCTAGCCCCCTACCCCACACACCAGGTCTTGTTATCACATAGCCTGCCATTACACGCTACCTATTTTTTGTTAGTCACTAGTAGTCCACAATAACAACTACTCACCCTCCTAGCCAGATCGTTATCAACTCCTTTGTCTGTCCAAATAAAAACCGAAAGAACTGCGGATGCTGTAAATCAGGAACGAAAACAAAGTTGCTAGAAAAGCTCAGCAGGTCTGGCAGCATCTGTGAAGGAAAAAACAGAGTTCTGAGGAAGAGTCACCGGACCTGAAACATCAACTGTGTCTTTTCCTTCACAGATGCTGCCAGACCTGAGCTTTTCTAGCAACTTTGCCTTTGTCTATCTAACTGCTCTTCTCTTTCTTCGGGCTCTATCCTTTATCCTATCGTTTACTCCCTAGCCCATCCCCCTCTCTATTTTCTGCATCTAAACCAACATTTTCCCAGCTACCATTAGTTCTGAGTAAGAGTCACCGGACCCAAAACGTTAACTGCTTTTTTTGTCATCACAGATGTTCCAGACCTGCTGAGCTGTTCCAGCAACTTCTGTTTTTGTTCCTGATTTACAGCATCCACAGTTCTTTCGGTTTTTATTCTGTGATTATGTTGTCGATTGCAAAATAAAGCACCCTATACTCTTTTCTGAATGTCCTGACAGCAAGCTCTTCTACACCAGAGCGAGTTTTCGCACAGATCATAATAGTCATCCGTTGATTAGAAATTGCTTAATGTTGATTTAAATTGCGTATGCCACTGTGTTTAAATTGCTTAATTCAAATTGCTAGATCAATAATCTTTAAGCTAAAGTCAAAGTTCAGTGATAAGAGTAGACTCTAGTGTGTTACTGTATGCTGAACAGTGGGACCCACTTGAAATTAAATACTAACCATCCAAGTTAACTTCTGTTCTTGAATGCAATACCCAATTGTGAAAGTTGTGCACTAACTCTGTGGTTTCTGGAGTCAAATGATTAAAGAAAACCCGACTTAAGTTTTGCCATCTTTGTTTCAGTATCAATCTTTGTCTGATTCCACTTTGAGGTCCATAGGATTTTTAAAAAATAAATTTATATAAATGCAAGTTGTTGTTGAAAATAGATATAGATCAAAATTATTCTCAGCTATTCATTAATAAAATGCTGAAGCATTGCTATTTGCAGTAATATTCTTCAGAAATTCTGCTAATGAAACAAATCAATTGTATTTTTTAACAGAACATAAACTGTGCTTACAGTAGTTTATAAACTGTGATCACTTCAAACTAAATTCATTGAATTTTCCATTTTATTTTACAAATATGATCAGACTTGCATCGTACTTTTGGAGCCAGTTTTTCTGATTGTTGATCTTCACGCGTTGCTCTGCAGTTCAGAAGCCTTTTAACCTTCAGGACAAAAACTTGTGCAACTCTTCTTTGAGGCTTGGTATAGGATCTGAATAAATATTTTAAGTCCTGAGGTTATAATTTCAAAAGACAAGATAAGATACATCAATATGAACTTTGTGCTATGCCTTTTTGGTTAGAAAACTGTAATGACTTATTGAGTTCTCAAAAAGTTGATGTTAGGCAGAATCTAAATGCTACACCTTGTTATAGTATTGTACAACATAATACTTTTGGTTTCCCCAAAAGAAATGCTGTGGGATAGTCACAGCTCCTGGTATTTAAAGAGCAAATTACAAAAATATAAATTCCTACTTGTTTTCACTTTTTAAGTACAGCTGAAATAACGTCTCCGGATAATTAGTTGGCCCTTTAGGAGTAGAATGCCTAAATGTGCATAAAATCTGACCAGTTACTTTTAACCTGATATAAGATCTCCAATAGGTGTAGACAAAGACATTGTTTAATTAAAGACAATTATTTATTTTACTTCCTTTCAAAACTATGATCTTAATTTTTATCTGGCTACCCAGCACAAAGGACAATGGTTATGAGTGTTGGAAGTCAATCATCTCAGCCCAGGACATCACTGCACAAATTCTTCAGCGCAGTGTCCCAGGCCAACCATTTCTTGCTGCGTTGTCAATGACCCTTCCTCCATTGTAAAGTCAGAAATGGGAATGGTCGCTGATGATTACATGTGTTCTGCACCATTCGTGACTCCTCAGGTACTGAAGCAGTCCATAACCATATGTATCAAGACCTGGGCAACATCCAGGCTTGAACTAATAAGAGGCAAGTAATATTTGTGCCACACTAGTGACAGGTAATGACCATTTCCAAAAGGAAAGAATCTAGCCATTGCTGAATCCGCACTATCTCATCTTGGGTGTTACCGTTGTCAAGAAACTGAACTGGATCAATAACATAAATACTACGGATAAAAGAGCAAGTAAGAAGCTAAGAATTCTGTGGCGAGTAACTTGATTCAACACCTATCCGCCATAGATAAAAGAAAATTTAGGGGTGTTAGGGAATATTTTCTGCTTGCCTGGATGGGTGCACATCCAACGACACTTAGGAATCTCCACAACATCCAGGACAAAGTGATCTATTTGATTAGCACATCATTCTCCTTCAACGTTCACTTTCTTCACCACCATTGCACAGAGGCACCAGTGTGTACCATGTGCAAGATGCACTGTAGTAATTCACGCTTCTTTCAACTGAACCTTCCAAACCCATGATCTCTACTACTTGGTAAGACAAAGGCAGCAGATGCACTGGAGCACCAACACCTACAAATGCTTCTCCAAGCCATACAATATCCTGACCTGAAACTACATTACATTGCTGTTCTTTTACTGTCACTAGCTCAAGATCCTAGATTTCCCTTTCTAACATCACTTTAGATGTCACTGTACCCTAAGGACTGCAGCAGCTGAAGAAGGCAGCTCACAACCTTTTCAAGTACGTTTGGGGATGGGCAATAAATGCTGATATAGCTTGCAAAATCCACATCCCATGAATGAATAGAAAAATTATGGAGCTTATCAAATAGTTTTATATTGAAATATTTCTTTTTACAGGGAATGGGTCTCATAAATAGTACTTTCCGTGAAGAACAAATACAAAAACTTCGCAATGGAAACCTGGGAATAGGACACACACGATATTCTACATCGGGTATTTCTGAATTGCAGAATTGTCAACCATTTGTAGTGGAAACTCTTCATGGAAAGATTGCTGTAGCCCACAATGGAGAATTAGTAAATGCAAAAAAATTAAAAATGAAGGTGTGTTACGGCATTTCCATAGTATTATGTTTAATTTAACGACACAGGAAAAGTGAATTGATCCTCAATAAATGTTGAATCCTATCTAGGCAAATGATTAGGATGGATTATTGAGATTAGATTCAAGGGTCAGTTTGCTGGTTAAATATAATCAAATCTGATATATGGCTCATAAATCCACTGCACATCAGAATCTGTACTCTGTGGCCAAGCAAGACTTTATCCAGCATCTTCTCTTGCTGAGCAAAAAAAAAATCTCAGGAGTAAAAGGGCAGCATAATGGCATAGTGCCTCACATTGCCAGGGACCTGCGTTTGATTCCAGCCTTACGTTCTCCCCATGTCTGTGTGGGTTTCTGTTGGGTGCTCTGGGTTTCCCACAGTCCAGATTGGCCATGCTGACCCATTGACCCATAGTGTCCTGGGATGCGCAGATGAGGTGGATTAGTCATGGTAAATGCAGGGTTATGGAGATGGGGTGGAAGCGTGGGTCTGGATGAGATGTTCTTTGGAGGGTTGGTGCTGACTTGATGGGCCAAATGGCCTCTATCTTCACTGTAGGGATTCTATGAAAAACCCAGGCTTAAAAAGATTGAAAACGAGAAGGCCTGATCTAAGTATCTCCTGTTCCGATGTCCCTACTATCCCCTTTCCTTTTGTTCAGCCTTTTTGTTCTGTTTAAAACGGTGTTTGGAGACCGCTGCTTCCTCCTTTAACACTAAAACATCTGCACAAAAGGCATATTATGCCTAATATTTCTATGCATTTTGTCATAGTAGTTACAGTTTGAAGTTTAGTACAGAATGATGAATTCAGTTTCTACAGTGAAGTAAGGTATGACAGTAATGCATTTTTAATATGGATAAAGATAATTTTTCCATTTGTATAGGTATTACGACATGGTGTTGGATTATCAACCAGCTCTGACAGTGAGCTTATCATACAACTTCTGGCTTTGACTCCTCCAAAGGAGGAAGCTGATACACCTGACTGGGTGGCCAGGTAAGGGAAACTGCAGAAACTTTTAGCTCCAGTCGGGGAGAGCACAGCAGTTCTAAATATAACAGAAAAGGTTTAGAATTCACATAAGATCCTTTTGAGCTTTAATTTAATCCAAATTTTTAGTTCTGTGACATATCATCATTTTCTTCACTCTTGGCTTTCAAGCATCAGCTAATAATTCAATGGCAACTGCAGTGAATTAGCGATAACACAGTGTGGAGCTGGAGGAGCACAGCAGGCCAGGCAGCATCAGAGGAGCAGGAAAGTTGACGTTTCGGGTCAGGACCCTTCTTCAGAAATGCAGTGAATTAGCACCTGGTCTGTTTCTGGGTGTTAGTCACAAAGTGTTTGAGTCAACTAAAGCCAGTACTAACTGCAGTGAATAGATGGGCATATTTCATTTTGGGTGTTTAACAGTAGTTTAGATACACTAGGACGTAAAAAAAATTCTTTTGCTAGTCATGACTCAGTTAGTAGCAGCACTCTTGCTTCTGAGTTACAAGATTCTGGGTTCAAACCCTGCTCTAGGCACTTGAACACAAAAGTCAAGTCTGACATTCCAGCGCTATACTGCGGGAGTACTGTACTGTTAGAGGTGAAATCTTTTGAATCAAATGTTAAACCAAGGCCTGTCTGCCTCTGTGGGTGGATATAAAAGATCCCTTGGCACTATTTCAAAGAAGGCATGGGAGATATTCTGACCCATGTTTATCCCTCAGTTACCATTGCAGAGAAAAGATTATCTTGTCACTAACATATTTTTGGGGGAGTTCACTGTGTGCAAGTTGGCTGCCACCTTTCTTGTAATAGTGACCACACTTTTTTTAAAAGATACTTTCACTGGCTGTAAAGTGCACTGAAGTGTCTGGTGGTCACGTAAAGCATTTTATAAATGCAAATCTCCCTGTCTTTCTCTATTTTGGTATGAATCTGACTAAGAATGGAAATAGTCAAACAAAACTAGCACCTTATATTGGTTTAGCGCAGAAATTGGTATCACAGCATTGTAAATCCCTTAAAATTGAATACACACCTAGATAACAAAATACAATACAATAACAAGATACAATGCATTGTTATTTGTATCTAATGCAGATACAATATTGTATGGACTCTTTTTCATTGCAAAAAATCTTTGACACTTTAGCACAAAGATAAGAGTCCCATTAATAACACTGAATTTAACATTGCTAAAAGGTTGCACTCTTAAGGACTAGGATGCAAGAAAAAGTACCATTTTATACAGCATGTCAACAAGGTACTGATTGTTTGGCCACAATTGGTACAGTTGCAGCAAGAACAATTGACCATCATTTCAGCTCTAAATTACTAAGATGTAGGAAACTATCCAATAAAAGTACTTGGTTAAATCTAGTTAAAACTGTAAAACCAGTGAATTTGGTAAATAATACATTGTGATTTATAAAGTGGTTTAAACATTATTGACTTTTGATGTTAATTTCCAGAATTAGAACTTTGATGACTGCAACATCTACCTCTTATTCAATGCTACTTATGTACAAAGATGTCGTGTATGCTGTCCGTGATCCTTATGGGAATCGCCCTCTATGCCTTGGCTGCCTTGTACCGGTTTCCAAGTTGAACAGTTCAGGTGAGAACCTAATTTTTAAATAATGGAAATGGAAGTCTAAAGCACGTTGTGTAAAAATTTAAAATGTTGTATACTTCTGAAGTGGTATAGGCGTCTTAACTAACCTATACAAAAGGTTTTGTCCCTCCCTAGTTCGTAATGTACTGTGAGACTAAATTCACGTTACTAGTGGGGAAAGTCACGAGCATCTTTCCTTTTTACATCAATTATGATATAATCTAAATTATCTTTCTTTCTCAATAAGTGGCTGTTCCTCACCCACTTTTCAGGTTGGGAGTGGAGTAGTGGGAGGAATGCTACAAGGAAGGTGTATGGTGAGACAAGGAGACTCCAATGGGTTTGTGGAGAGGCATGGAAAATGCAGGGGAATTACAGTGGTGGGGAAAGGATGGTTTTTGGGGTGAGATGGGAGAAAGAAAGGGAGGTTACAAGGGGTTGGGGTGGGAGCAGAGGGAAACTGCAAGGGTGTGGTGTGGGATGGAGAAAGGCTGTGAGGGGGTGATAGGGAAGAGGGAGGGAGGGAGGTTGTGACAGGGAGGGGTGGGACCAAAAGGGAGGCTGCAAGGGTAGGATAGGAGAGGGTGGGAGGCTGCAAAGAAGAAATAACAGTTTTACACTTGTCAACAAAGGAGCACCCAGCTAACTGATGAAAAATGAATACCTTAAATCACTGTGGTAATAAGGTACTTGCAAATGAATTTGGAATCTAGCCTAATGCTGCATATGTTGAGGAATACAGAGAGCTGTTTGTCCAAAGATGTGCAGGTTAGGTGGATTGGCCATACTAAATTGCCCACAGTGTCCAGGGATGTGTAAGTTAGGTGGATTAGCCATGGGAAATCCAGGGTTACAGAGATAGGGTAGGGGGGTCGAGTGTAGGTGGCATGCTCTTCGGAGAGTCTGTGTGGAGTCGTTGGGCCAAATGGCTTGTTACCACACTGTGGGGATTCTATGATTCTATGAGCAGGAGAAGCTGTGGGTGCTATTCTAATGAAAACTGTCAATCGTGGAATTTCAGACACGCAATAAAAAGGGTAGTAACTGCATCATTAAAATAGTCCAAGTTTGTCAGTATACAATGGAAATGCATTAAATGAGAGTCCTGCAGGCTGTTGATGGTATGAATTTTTACATGCGTGAATGAATGTTGGTGATTTTGGGGGGAAAAAAAGCTTCGCCCTGCTATTTCATGCCTGTGGTCTTATGCCAAGTTGTTATGCCATACTGTGGTGGCCAGGATGTCAATGCTTTGCTTGTATGTTATGGCTTCCACATATGATGGAGAGTTAATAATTACTGAGGTATTGATCAGTTCTTCTAATTCTGCTTCTGAATGAGTTCACTCCAAATATCAATACAAACATGGAAGATAGTTTTACGACATGATTGCCATCTAATAAATTACTAGTTAGAATGAAAAAGTATCCCTTAAACTAGAAAGTGTATTAGTATTACTGTTTTAGGTCGTGATCTTTCATTGCATCAGAGAAGTTAAGAGGTGTAATAGGTTTTTGAGCAAGGGTTGAGATGAAGGAAGGTCTGTGATAGGGTGGAAGGCAAGAGACTGAATCACAGAACAGTTAGCCTCACAAAGCCAAAGTAAAGAGGTGACATGAAAAATCGCTAGAGAATAAGATTAAGAAGAATCCCAAGATCCCTCCCAAATTTGTTAGAGTTCTTTGAAGTGACCAGGAAGGTTGATGAGGGTAGGATGGTAGACATAGTCTGAGAGACCTTGGAGCTCAGGTGCATGGTTCTCTGAAAGTGGAGTTACAGTTAGACAGGGCAATGAAGAAGGCCTTGGCACACTGGCCTTCATCAATTAGGGCATTGATTATAGAAGTTAGAAAGTTATGTTGCAGTTGTACAGGACGTTGGTGAGGCTGCAGATAGAGTATTGTGTTCAGTTTTGGTCACCTTGCTATAGGATGGATGTTATTAAACTGGAAAGACTGCAGAGGAGATTTACAAGGATGTTGCCAGGACTCAGGGACTGAGATATAGGGAGAAGTTGGACAAGCTAGGACATTTTTCTTTAGAGTGGATGAGAATGAGGGGGGGATCTTTATAGAAATGTATAAGATCATGAGAGACATGGATAAGGTGAATGCACTCGGTCTTTTTCCCAGAATTGGGAAATCGAGGACTAGAGGCCACCAGTTTAAGGTAAGAGTGGAAAGAATACATGGGAACCTGAGGGGCAACTTTTTTGTTATACAGAGCGTGGCACGCATAAGCTGCCAGTGGAAGTGGTTGAGACAGGTACATTAACAACATTTAAAAGGCATTTGGAAGAATACATGGATATGAAAGGTTTAGAAGTATATGGGCCAAGTGCAGGGAAATGGGGTAAACGTGGATGGACATTTTGGTCGGCATGGACCAGTTTGGGCTGAAGGGCCTGAGTCCATGCTGTAGGACCTTGACTCTCATAACTCTAAGAGGATAACAAGAAAAAGAATAGGGCCTATCGGGGCCAAAAGGGCAACCTGTGTGTGAAGCCAGAGGACATTTGTAGAGCATTAAATGAGTACTTCATTTTTGGAGAAAGAGGATACAGAATTCAGGAAAGGGGACTGGGTGATTTGACATAGGGAATGATGTGTTATTAGAGGTTTGGTGGGCTTAAAAGTGGAGAAATCCTCTGATCCAGATGAGTTGCATCCCAGGCTGCTGGGGAAATGAGGAAGAAATTATCCAAGTTTTTACTACTTCTCTGGCCAGATGGATGTGCCAGAGGACTGAAGGACAGTCGATGTTGCTCCACTTCTCAAGAAATTGCGAGACGTATACCAGGGAATTACAGACCAATGTGTCTGTCATCTGTAGGGAAACTATTGCAGAAAATTCTGATGGAAAGAATTGATCACCACTTGAGGGGCAAAGTTTGATGAGTGATAATCAGCATAGCTTTGTTAGAGCGTGCTCAATTTTTTTGAATTTTTCAAAGCGGTGACCAGGTGTGTATGAGGCTAGTGCAGTTGATGTAGCTTGTATGGATTTTAGCAAAGTCTTTGGCAAGGTACCACATGGGAAACTGATAAAGAAGGTAAAAATACATAGGATCCACAATAACCTGACAGGTTGGATCCAAAATTGATTTAGTGGTAGGAGATGGAGGGTGTAGAAAGTGGTTTGTGTGACTGGAGGCTGTTGTGCAGTGTATACCACAGGGATCAGTGCTGACATCCTTGTTCTTTGTGCCATATAAAATGAATAATAGATTTTAAAAAAATGAGGGGATGTCCATAGATAAGTTGGTGGATGACACAAAGATTGGCCAGGTGGTTGCCAGTGAGGAAGAAGGTCTTGGGTTACAGGAGGATATAAATGAATCGGTCAGATGGATAGATGAGTGACAAATGGAACTTAACCCTGATAAGTGTGAGGTGATGCACTTTGGAAGAAGTAACAAGACAAAGGAGTCCTCAATGAATGGCAGGTCACAAGGAAACTAGGTCAGTAGGAAGAGTAGAGAAAGCTGAGAGTGGATCTGACTAAGATTATAATGGGCATGGGCAGGAACCAGCTGGACCCCTCAGTTGAAGGCTCAGTAAATAGGGAGCATAATTTTGAGGTGAAAGGCAGGATATTTAGAGGGTATTTGAGGAAATATCTTTTTCACTCAGATGATGGTGAGAATCTGAAATACATAGCTCGGGATGGTGGTTGAAATGGGAACCCTTGGAACCTTTAAAAAAATATTTGTGCATTTCAAATGTCATTACATTCAAGGCTACAGATCAAGTGCTGGAAAGTGAGATAGTATAGATTTATAGTAGTTTTTGTCGATGCAAACTCGATTTATCAAGGGCTTCTTCTGTACTGTGTTATTGTATTAAATGGTGATAATGCAAGAAAGTAAATAAAACAAAGCAGAAAATACCTAGGAAAGCAGGTGGGATATTACCTGATAGGAAAAAAACAGGAGCACAACCAAAACATGCAAGGAAACCAAATGAAATAGGAAGACAAGGTTTATGTTCTGAAATTGTAGGACGTGAAGGTGAGTTCAGCAAAGTTGACTGACTAACAGATAAGGTGCTGTTCCTCAAGCTTGTGTTGAACTCACTGGAACAATGCAATAGGCCAAGAACCAAGATGTCAGTGTGAGAGCAAGGTGGAGAATGAAAATGACAGACCACTAGAAGCTTGGTGTCAACCTTGCGCACTTAATGGAGGAGATATTTTACAGTCAGTCACCCATTCTGCACTTGGTGTAGAGGGTCCAGATTGTGAGCAGCAAATATTACATATATAACTGAAAGAAGTATATGTAAATCACTGCTTCACTGGAAGAAGCGTATGAGACCTTGAACAGTGAGGAGAGGGGAGGTAGCTGAGCAGGTATTGCATTTTACATGCAAAGGTGCAATGGGAGGAGAACAAGGTGTGTGGGTGACTTAAGGAGTGAACTGGGGAGGGTATCAAGATCCCTATGCTGAAAAGAGTAGGGAGGGAAAGATCTGTTTGGTGGTGGTATCACACTGGAGGTGGCACAAATGATCTCGTTTTATTCTGGTACTGGGTGAGGACAAAGGGAGCCCTACCATCACTTTGTGAGGGAGGGGAGGCTGTCAGAGGTGACAGAAATATTGACGCTATTGAGGGCAACCATGGTGGGTGCTTTAAATAGATTGGAGTTAACGGAGGGTGGGAAATCAGAGGCCAAAGGAAATATTTAAGGAGTAATCATGTTTATCAGTAATGAAGGTAAATTACATCTAAATGTTCTATCAGTAGAAGAACTAAGTGGTCCCTGTTATAGATCACATGGGGTTAAAGTTCACTTCAGGCTTAAACAGGATATGAAGAATGATTTGTTTAAGACTGAGTGCATGATCTGGAAGGTATAGAAACAGTGGCAGAGTTTATAATAAATGCAAGAGATGGTTACATCATTCTCATTGGTGTTGAGCATGAGGAAGCCTTGTTTCATTCAGGATTTAATATCTGGTAAGTTGTCTGACAGGAGGGATAGAATTGAGAGAAGTGATGAATAGTTGGAGCTGGAAATCAAGCATATAAAGTTGATTCCATACCAAGGGAAAAGCTACAACTAAGTCCTGTTTAAATCAAAAGATGATTGTGAAGAGATAAGGACCAAGTTTAGACATCATTTGGTAGAAATAGAAATGTGTAAGGACATTTTCATAGAGCGGGGTAACAAATGAATGGCTTCCCCAGTAGAAAGGGGGGAGGGGTGCAGTTAATAAAATTTTTTATAACTGGGATAAAAGAAGTGCATTTTCATTCTAGTCCCACTGGTTGCAACATAAAACAAAATAATATATCCAAGTTCTGATGTGGCCAATCCTTTGCTTTCTCTATATGCCTGCTATTCCAGTCTATATTCTCTATATTCCAGTTCTGATGAAGGATGTAAACCCCAAATGTCGACTTTCCTGCTCCTCTGATGCTGCCTGACCTGCTGTGTTCCTCCCAGCTCCACACTGTATTGATTCTGACCCCAGCATCTGTAGTTCTTGTGATCTCCCTTTCTCTATGTTAGCCTTAAATGGAAAGATCCAACAATTGTTCTTTTTTAATTAACACAGTTATCAAATTATAAACTTGAAAGGGTTCAGAAAGGATTTGCAAGGATATTGCCAGGGTTGGAGGGTTTGAGCTGTAGGGAGAGGCTGAACAGGCTGGGGCTATTTTCCCTGGAGCGTCGGAGGCTGAGGGGTGATCTTAAAGAGGTTTATAAAATCATGAGGGGCACTGATAATGTAAATAGATGAGGTCTTTTTCCCAGTGTGGGGGAGTCCAAAACTAGAGGGCATAGGTTTAGGGTGAGAGAGGAAAGATTTATAAGGGACCTGGGGGGCAACTTTTTCACAATGAGGGTTGTGCGTGTATGGAATGAGCTGCCAGAGGAAGTGGTGGAGGCTGGTGCAATTGCAACCTTTAAAAGGTATCTAATTGGGTATATGAATAGGAAGGGTTTAGAGGGATATGGGCCAAATGCTGGCAAATGGGACTAGATTTATTTAGGATATCTGTCGGCATGGATGAGTTGGACCGAAGGGTCTGTTTCCATGCTGTACATCTCTATAATTCTAAAACAAAACCCACTCAATGTAGAGGGAAACGTAGTCGGCAGGATTCGAACCTGCGTGAGGAAACCCCAATGGATTACACAATTTATATTTTGAAAACATAAATTTATCCTTCTAAATAGTGGAGGCAATGGTAATGAACATGGGTTTGCAACCCACCCTAGCACAAGGTGAAATTTGAATTTTAAAAACAAACTGAAATAAAAAGTTAGTCTAATGGCAACCCACTTGTTTAAAAACCCACCTAGTTCCCTAATGTCCTTCAGGGAAATCTGCTGTCCGTGCCTCATCTGGCCTACGTGTGACTCTGGACCAGCCACAATGTGGTTGGCTCTTAACTGCCTTCTGGGGCTATTAGGGGTGGGCAGTAAATTCTGGCCTAGCTGGCAACGCCCACATCCCATGAATGAATTTAAAAAAAGGTAGTTGCAGAGGACAGATGAGTCAGGTTTTCCTTTGATGATATTAATTTTGAAAGATGAAAAGAGAATGTTGGCACTCTTCAGGGCCAGCATGGGGAACATGTATTTTCGTAATTGTAAAGGGAGATGATTCAGAATTATTTTAACAAATTATTATTTAATAGTCTTATAATAGCAGTACTTTCATTTCAGATCAAAACGTTTGACTATGAATTTTAGGATTATTTGCCAAGTGTAGTTTCTGCTAATTACACGCTTTGTACATTTTTATTTAGATTTTTTTTGCACTTTTTCTTTTGAATACAGGTGAAGCATATAATGAAACAGAAACTGAAGGATGGGTGGTTTCTTCTGAATCTTGCAGTTTCCAATCAATTGGGGCCAGGTGAGGTTAACGGTTAACTTTATGAATGATGGCAGTGTCCCCTTCCAACTCCATTTTAATTTAGTCCCATCTCCCTGTCCCTACCTCTCCCTCACCTTTGATGGTTTGCATTCCCCTTGCTGGATTGGCATGTAAATAAATCAGTTGGGAAAACACACGTGATTTATTGGTGATGGTTACTAGCACATAGAACAGAACAACACAGGAACAGATTTTTGCCCATATATGTCTGTGCCACCCATGATGCTATTCTAAATTAATCCCATCTATCTGCAAATTGTCTGTATCCTTCTGTTCCCTGCTTGTTCATTTGTATGTCTAACTGCCAATGAGCTTTGCTAACATATCAGCTTCTACCAAAAAAAACCTCCCCTGGCAGTGCATTCCAAGCACCTATCTCTCTCTTTCTTTCAAAAAAAAAACACTAGGCTTGCACATCTCCCTTAAACTTTTTCCCTCTCATCTTAAATTTATGCCCCCAGTATTTGATATTTCCACCCTGGGGAGAAAGATTCTGATTATCCATCTCTCTCATAATTTTATATACTTCTGTCAGGTCCCCCCATCAGCCTCCAACACTCTAACAAAAACAATCCCAAGTTTGTCCAATCTCTCCCTAAAGCTTATACACTCCAGTCTAGGCAATATCCTGGTAAATCTCCTTTGCACCCTCTCCAAAACCTCCACATCCTTCATGTAGTGTGAGAACCAGAACTGCGCACACAACTGTAAATGTAGCCTAACTAAAGTTTTTTACAGGAACAACATGACTGGCCAACGTTTATGCTTAGTGCCCCGACCGATGAAGGCAAGCATGCCGTCTGCCGCCTTTACCACCTTTTTCACTTGTGTTGCCACTTTCAGGGAGCTAGGGGCTTGCATTCCAAGATCCTCTGTATGTCAGTGCTCTTAAGAGTCCTGATATTAACTGTATCCTTTCCTGTTTCATTAGACCTCCCAAAATACATCACCTCACACTTGTCTGGATTAAACTCCATCCACTATTTCTCCATCCAACTTTCCAGCTGCTCACTATCCACAACTCCACCAATATTTGTGTTGTCTACAAACTTACTAATCATACAACCTACATTTTCGCCTAAGTCATTTGTGCAGGCAACCGAGGTTTTAGCCCTGATCCTTGCAGAAACGAGGCCGTCAGTCAGAAAAACACCCCTCCACAGAAATAGATGATGCAGAAGTAAAATGGTACAGTTTTACGTAAGAACGTAGAACATTGAACAGTCTGGCACAAGAATAGGCCCTGTGGTGCACAATATTTTGTCGACCATGATGCTATTCTGAACTCATAACATCTGCCTGCACATGGTCCAATCCCTCTGGATATAAATATATACCTATAAAAAAATTTGCCTTAAACTTGAAACACATGTTCGCTAACAGCACAAATCTAATAAAATATCACCATGCACTGTAATCTTAACACATTTTAATATAAATTGAATACTGCTGCTATGTTCGTCCACCTCTGCATCCCAGTAGAAATAATTAATTTGATAAATGACATAACTAGAAAAGATGAAAATGGTTTTGTATTTCAAAAGTGTATCTCACAACTTCGCGCTGTTCAAGAGTGCTTTTCAAAATAAATGACTGTGCAGTAATTGTTATTATGCAGGAATCAAATCACAAACAGCTGGATCTCTCAAACAACAATGTTGGATAAATGATCTGTTCATCACTAACCCAAAATAGGTTGAGTGATGCATGTTAGTCAGAACTTTCATGGTCATCTTCGAATAGTATCGTGGAATAGTTTATTTTCACCTCAGTGAGCTGATGAAGTCTTAGTTTAATAACTCACACTTAACTATTACTCAAACAACACACCATTCATTGAGTATTATATTGTCATAGATAATGGTTACAGTGCAGAAGGAGGCTTTTGTATTCAGGTGTCTGTGCTAGTTCTCTTTGAGTGAAACTCACCTACTGCCCACCTTTCTCCTCACGAGACACTCCTACTCTTTTTCTGTTCTCTAGTTGTTTTGCAAAGAATGCGGAATGATCGCATGTTGTCAGTATTCCACAATAACTGGAATCAGAACTGCAGACATTGTGCCACATCACGGAAGGACACATTATTCTAGAAGGTGGTCACACTCCTCAGATTGGGGAATTCAAAATTACTCTTTGATCGGGCACAGGAAGCTGTGACTGCTGGTGAGGCAGGCCTGCCGGCCCAGTGGTTGGAATTGAGGGGCCCTAACTCCTGCAGTTGTCCATGGTTATGAGATTCTTGCAAACTGTGTGAACGAGAGTGGGGACTGCAGGAAGATGAGCAAACTGAACATAGTACATTGGTACAGGGTGCCATACAAGTGGGGTGAAGGATATAGGAACATAGTTGTGATAGGGGACAGTAAAATTAGGGGGGTAGATTCTGTTCTCTGCAGCCATGAATAGGAATTCTGAAGGCCATATTGCTTCCACAATATGAGCGTTAAGGACATGTCCTTGGATGAGGTTGTAGACATGCTCACCGATCTAGTGGGTTTGGATGCAAATGTTTTGTCAACCTACTAGATAACATCATTAGTGCTCTCTAGTGAAGCATCAATGTTCTGTCCCGCTTGTTATTTGAACAAAAAGAACAAAGAAAATTACAGCACAGGAACAGGCCCTTCGGCCCTCCAAGCCTGTGCCGATCCAGATCCTCTATCTAAATCTGTCACTTATTTTGCAAGGATCTGTATCCCTCTGCTCCCTGCCTATTCATGTATCTGTCTAGATACATCTTAAATGACGCTATCGTGCCCGCCTCTACCACCTCCACTGGCAACGCGTTCCAGGCACCCACCACCCTCTGCGTAAAGAACTTTCCAAGCATATCTCCCTTAAACTTTTCCCCTCTCACCTTGAAATCGTGACCCCTAGTAATTGAGACCCTACTCTGGGAAAAGGCTTCTTGCTATCCACCCTGTCTATACCTCTTATGATTTTGTAGACCTCAATCAGGTCCCCCCTCAACCTCCGTCTTTCTAATGTAAATAATCCTAACCTACTCAACCTCTCTTCATAGCTAGCCCCTCCATACCAGGCAACATCCTGGTGAACCTCCTCTGCACCCTCTCCAAAGCATCGACATTCTTTTGGTAATGTGGCGACCAGAACTGTACGCAGTATTCCAAATGTGGTCGAACCAAAGTCCTATACAACTGTAACATGACCTGCCAACTCTTGTACTCAATACCCCGTCTGATGAATGAAAGCATGCCGTATGCCTTCTTGACCACTCTATCGACCTGTGTTGCCACCTTCAGGGTACAGTGGACCTGAACACCCAGATCTCTCTGTGCATCAATTTTCCCCAGGGCTTTTCCATTTACTGTATAGTTCGCTCTTGAATTGGATCTTTCAAAATGCATCACCTCGCATTTGCCTGGATTGAACTCCATCTGCCATTTCTCTGCCCAACTCTCCAATCTATCTATATTCTGCTGCTTTCTCCGACAGTCCCCTGTCCGACAGAGGGTTATGAATCTGTGGAATTATTTACCACAAAGGGCTGTTGAGGCTGGGTCATCAAGTACATTCAAGGGTGGGCTACGCAGATTTTAAACAGTATGGGAATCAAGGGATATCGGGAAAAGAAAGAAAAGTGGAGTTGAGGTTTATCAGATCAGCCATGATCTTATTTTGGAGACTCACTGGGCTGAATGATCTACTTCTGCTCCTTTATCTTATGGTCCTCCCTGATAGCTTTACATTCCCTTGCTCAACAAGTATCTATCCACCTCTGCCTTAAAAATCCTCACGGATTTTCTTTCCGATGAAAGCAATGTCCCAAAAACACTCAATGAGTGAAAATCTTTTGCCACATCTATTTTAAATGCATAATCAATGAGTGACCCCCTAGTTTTTGATTCTCCTAAAACATGGTCGCCACATCCAACCTGCTAAGACTCCTCAGGGTTTTCATCAAGTTGTATCTTATTCTTCTAGGCTCCAGTGGATACAAGTCACGCATGTCCAATCTTTCCTCAAAGACGACCTGTCCATTTCAGGTATTAGTCTAGTAAACCTTCTGAGCTGCTTCCAATCCATTTACATTCTTGTTTCAAAGAGATATTCAATACTGTACATAGTACTCCAGATGCAAGCTCACTTCTGTATAACTGAAGCATAACATCCATATCTTTGGATTTAATTCCTCTTGCAATAAATGTAAACATTCAATTAGGGTTTCTAATTACTGGCTGTTCAACTTCTTTTCATAGAATCATAGAAGGCCTACAGTGTGGAAACAGGCCCTTCAGCCCAACAAGTCCACACCAACCCTTAGAGCATCCCACCCAGACCCATCCCCCTATAACCCACCTAATCTACACATCCCTGAATACTATGGCCATGCTAAATTGCCCAATCCACCTAGCCTGCACATCTTTGGACTGTGGGAGGAAACCAGAGCACCCGGAGGAAGCCCATGCAGACACAGGGAGAATGTGCAAACTCCACACAGACAGTCGCCCAAGGGTGGAATCGAACCCGGGTCCCTGGCGCCGTGAGGCAGCAGTGCTAAGCGCTGAGTCATCATGCTGCCCATGATACATGCAGATCCCTTTGCATCTCAGAGCTCTAAAATCTCTCACCATTTAGATGTTTCTTTATTTTTTTTTTCTCCCAAAACAGACAATTTCACTACAACTGTCTGTCTCCTGTTGCCCAGCCAGTTCTCTATCCATCTAACTAGTACACCCTGGACCCCATGCGACTTCACTTTCTCCATCAGCCTACCATGGGGAACCTTATCAAACGCCTTACAGAAATCCATGTATATGACATCTACAGCCCTTTCCTCATCTATGAACTTTGTCACTTCCTCAAAGAATTCAATCAAGTTGGTAAGACATGACCTTCCCTGCACAAAACCATGCTGCCTGTCACCAATAAGCCCACTTTCTTCCAAATGTAAATAGATCCTATCCCTCAGTATCTTCTCCAGCAGCTTCCCCACCACTGACGTCAGGCTCACCGGTCTATAATTACCTGGATTATCCTTGCTACCCTTCTTAAACAAGGGGACAACATTAGCAATTCTCCAGTCCTCCGGGACCTCACCCGTGCTCAAAGATGCTGCAAAGATATCTGTTAAGGCCCCAGCTATTTCCCCTCTTGCTTCCCTCAGTAACCTGGGATAGATCCCATATGGACCTGGGGACTTGTCCACGCTAATGCCTTTTAGAATACCCAACACTTCCCCCCTCCTTATGCCGACTTGACCGAGAGTAATCAAACATCTATCCCTAACCTCAACATCCGTCATGTCCCTCTCCTCGGTGAATACCGATGCAAAGTACTCATGAGGAATCTCACTCATTTTCTCTGACTCCTCGTATAACTTCCCTCCTTTGTCCTTGTGTGGCCCAACCCTTTCTCTAGTTACCCTGTTACTCCTTATGTATGAATAAAAGGCTTTGGGATTTTCCTTAACCCCGTTTGCTAAAGATATTTCATGACCCCTTTTAGCCCTCTTAATTCCTCGTTTCAGATTCGTCCTACTTCCCCGATATTCTTCTAAAGCTTCGTCTGTTTTCAGTGGCCTAGACCTTTATGTATGCTTCCTTTTTCCTCTTTGCTAGTCTCACAATTTCACCTGTCGTCCATGGTTCCCTAATCTTGCCCTTTCTATCCCCCATTTTCACAGGGACATGTCTGTCCTGCACTCTAATCAACCTCTCTTTAAAAGCCTCCCACATATCAAATGTGCATTTACCCTCAAACAGCTGCTCCCAATCCACATTCCCCAGCTCCTGCCGAATTCTGCTATAGTTGGCCTTCCCCCAATTTAGCACTCTTCCTTTAGGACCACTCTCATCTTTGTCAATGAGTATTGTAAAACTTAGGGAATTGTGATCACTGTTGGTGGTATACATGGATTTAAGTAAGGCGTTTGATAAGGTTCCCCATGGTAGGCTCATACAGAAGGTAAGGAGGCATGGGATAGTGGGAAATATGGCAGATTGGATTCAGAATTGGCTGACCCTTAGAAGACAAAGGGTGGTAGTGGATGGAAAATATTCAACAAGGTACTCAGTTACGAGTGGTGTACCACCAGGATCTGTCCTGGGCCCTCTTCTATTTGTGATATTTATAAATGATTTGGATGAAGGAGTGGAAGGGTGGATTAGCAAGTTCGTGGATGATATAAAGGTGGGTCGCGTTGTGGACAGTGTGGAGGGCTGTTCAAGGTTACAAGGGGACTTTGGTAGAGTGCAGAGCTGGGCTGAGAAGTGGCAGATGGAGTTTAACCCTGAAAAGTGTGAGGTGATTCATTTTGGAAGGACAAACTTGAAAGCAGAATACAAGGTTAACGGAAAGATTCTTGGCAGTGTGGAGGACCAGAGGGATCTTGGGGTTCATGTTCAAAGTTCCCTGAAAGCTGCCACCCAGGTGGATAGAGTTGTTAAGAAGGCGTATGGTGTATTAGCTTTCATTAATAGAGGGATCAAGTTCAAGAGCCGTGAAGTTATGCTCCAGCTCTCCAAAAGCCTGGTTCGGCCACATCTGGAGTATTGTGTCCAGTTCTGGTCGCCTCAATACAGGAAAGATGTGGAGGTGTTGGAAAAGGTGCAGAGGAGATTCACCAGGATGTTGCCTGGAATGGAGGAAAGGTCTTATGAGGAAATGTTGAGAGAGCTAGGGCTTTTCTCTTTAGAACGATGAAGGATGAGAGGTGACTTGATAGAGGTGTATAAAATGATCAGAGGTCTAGATAGGGTGGACAGCCAGAGACTTTTTCCTCGGGTGGAGGTAGCTATTACGAGGGGGCATAGTTTTAAAGTGAGTGGAGGTGGATACAGGGGAGACATCAGGTAGGTTCTTTACTCAGAGAGTGGTCGGGACGTGGAATGCATTGCCAGAGAGGGTAGTGGAGTCAGCCACATTAGGGGCATTTAAGCAGCTATTAGATAGGCATATGGATGATAGTATAAGGTAGGGGTGGAGGTTAGATAGACTTCAGGATTAGGGTAAAAGTTCGGCACAACATCGTGGGCCGAAGGGCATGTACTGTGCTGTGTTCTATGTTCTATGTTCTATGTTCTACTATTCCCAAAGTAATCCCCTACTGAAACTTACCACCTGGCCGGGCTCATTCCCCAACACCAGGTCCAGTATGGCCCCTTCCTGACTTGGACTATTTACATCCTGCTCTATAAAACCCTCCTGGATGCTCCTTACAAATTCTGCTCCATCTAAACCCCTAACACTAAGTGAATCCCAGTCAATGTTGAGAAAATTAAAATCTCCCATCACTACCACCCTGTTGCTCCTACATCTTTCCATAATCTGTCTACATATTTGTACCTCTACCTCACGCTCGCTGTTGGGAGGCCTGTAGTACAGCCCCAACATTGTTGTCGCACCCTTCCTATTTCTGAGCTCTGCCCATATTGCCTCACTGCTCAAGTCCTCCATAGTGCCCGCCTTCAGCACAGCTGTGATATCCTCTTTGACAAGAAATGCAACTCCTCCACCCCTTTTACCTCCCTCTCTATCCCACCTGAAGCATCTGTATCCCGGGATATTTAGTTGCCAATCTTGCCCTTCCCTCAACCAAGCCTCAGTAATAGCAATAACATCATACTCCCACGTACTAATCCAAGCCCTAAGTTCATCTGGCTTACCTACTACACTTCTCGCATTAAAACAAATGCACCTCAGACCACCTGTCCCTTTGCATTCATCATCTGCTCTCTGCCTACTCTTCCCCTTAGTCACACTGACTTCATTATCTAGTTCCTTACAGGCTTTAGTTACTACCTCCTTACTGTCCACTAACCTCCTCATTTGGTTCCCATCTCCCTGCCACATTAGTTTAAACCTTCCCCAACAGTGTTTGCTGGGGTGGTTGGTATTACTTCAGGTTCTGTTTCTCGGTGGTTTGTACACAGGGTCTAAAGCAGTGTGTCTGTTGATGGAGTTCCGGTTGGAATACCAGGCCTCCAGGAATTCCCTGTTGTGTCTCTTTGGCTTGTGCGATTTATGGATGTGTTGTCCAGTCGAACTCGTGTCCCTTGTTGTCTGTGTGTAGTGAGACAAGTGAGAATTGGTCATGTCTCTTGGTGGCTAGTTGGTGTTCGTGTATCGGTATTGTCAGTTTTCTTCCAGTTTGGCCTGTGTAGTGTTTCTCACAGTCCTTGCATGGTATTTTTATATTACACTGGTTTTGCTGGTTTTGGGTGTAGGATCCTTTACGTTTCTTAGTAGCTGTTGTAGGGTAGTTTCTTTGAAGACCCCGTGTTGGTGCTCCTGTTCTGCTTGGTTTGCTGCAATATGTTGTGGCTCATTTAAATAGTGTCCTGATGCAGCTCCGTTTGGGGGCATTGGTGTGGTTGCTAGTGTAATTGAGTATCTGGTCCGTTTGTGTGGTCTTTCTGTATACACTCTTCTGGAATTCCCTGTTGTTTTGCGTTCTACCATTATGTCCAGGAAGGGTAGTCAGTTGTTGTTCTCTTCTTCTTTGTGAGTTTTATCCCGGTGTGGATGTTGCTTATGTGTTAATGGGTTTCTTCTAGTTTTGTGCATTTAATAATCACAAAGGTGTCGTCTACATATAAGTTTGAGTTGTATAGTGTGGAGCGCTGTCCATTCTAACGTTTGCATTACTGCTTCTGCAATCAGTCCTGATATCGGGGATCCCATTAATGTTCTGTTGCTTTGTTTGTATATTTTGACATTGAAGGTGAAGTGGGTTGTGAGGCACAAATTTAGTAGTTTCATGGCGGTGTCCTTATTGATGTTGTTGGTGTCCTGAATTGCCTGCTTACTTGATTCATCCAACAGTGTGGTAATTGTTTCTTTGGCTAGGTCAATGTAAATAGTGCTGTTATATTGAAGGATATCATCATCTCGTCCTCTTCTATCCCTTCTATTTCGTCCCTGATGTTGAGGAATTCTTGGGATAAGTGGATGGAGTAGGTAGTGTGGTCTACTAAGTATTTCAATATAAACGCAAGTCTTTCTTTAAGTGTCATGTCATGTATGTGAGTATGGCTAGTATGAAACATGTACACCATGCAGGGTTGAATGCTCAAAGTTGCTGAGCAGAACAGTTGTTGACACTGATTTTCAGAAAAAAATTTTAACCGTTACTCTTTCCCCAAGTTTCATCATCTGTTACAAAGTGTTTAATTTCTTCCTTGGTGTAATTTCTAAATTTTCAGTGACTACCTTGAAAGTGAGTAATTCTAGTATAGAACTCTTTACAGCATTCTTCCTCTACCATTTTTCTAGATATTATCGTGAAATATTACCAGGAGAAATTGTACAAATCTCTAAGAATGGTGTCCAGACACTTGACCTTGTCCCAAGAGCTGGAGGAGATCCACCTGCTTTCTGTATCTTTGAATATGTTTATTTTGCCAGACCTGACTCCATATTTGAAGGTAATTCTGAATTTTTAATGGGATGCATCATGCAGTTATTTTTAACTTTCTTCATATGGATTCTATTTTACATTACAAGCTTGAGTCGTAGAGTCCTGCAGCACAGAGGCAGGCCCTTCGGCCCAAACTCATCCATGCCATCTAAAATGTCCATCCATGCTAACCCCATTTCCCTGCACTTGGCCCATATCCATCTAAACTTTTCCTATCCATGTATTCGTCCAAATACCTTTTAAATGTTAATGCACCTGTCTCAAGCACTTCTGCTGGCAGCTCATTCCATATATATGTCACCCTATGTGTTTAAAAACAAAGTCGCCCCTCAGGTTCCCATGTAGTCTTTCCCCTCTTACCTTTTAAACCAATGCCCTGTAGTCCTCGATTCCCCAACCCTGGGAAGAAGACTAAGTGCATTCACCTTATTCATGCCTCTCATGATCTTATACACTTCTAAAAGATTCCCTCCTTAGAACATAGAACATTACAGTGCAGTACAGGCCCTTCGGCCCTCGATGTTGCGCCGACCTGTGAAACCAATCTGAAGCCCATCTAACCTACACTATTCCATTAGTCTCTATTAGTCACTATGCCATTTCTTAGTCTCCTACGCTCTAAACAGAAAAGATTCTAGCTTGCCCAACCGGTCCCTTGAGTCCTGCCAACATCCGTGTAAATCTCCTCTGCACTGTTTCCAGTTTAATAACATCCTTCCTATAACAAGATGACCAAAACTGAACACAATACTCCAACTGCAGTTTCATCAACGTCCTGTAAAACTACAACATAACTTCCCGACTTCTATAAACGATGCCCTGACTGATGAAGGCCAGTGTGCCAAAAGCCGCTTTCACTGCCCTATCTGCCTGTGACTCCACTTTCAGAGAACCGTGCACCTGAACAAGATCCCTCTGTTCCACAACACTTGTTACGGCCCTACTTTCACCATGAAACCCCTACCTTGATTTGACTTTCCAAAATGTAACACCTCACATTTATCTATATTAAACTCCATTTGCTATTTCTTGGGCCACTTCTCCAGCTGATCAAGATCCTGCTTCAATTTTTGATAACCTTCTTCACTGTCCACGATACCACCTATTTTAGTGTCATTCACAAACTTACTAATCATGCCTTGTACATCCTCAGCCAAATCATTGATATAGACAACAAACAGCAATGGGCCCAGCATCGCCCCTGAGGCACACCACTAGTCACAGGTCTCCAGTCTGACAAGCTTCTTTCCGCTATTGCTCTCTACTTCCTACCATCAAGCCAATTGTGTATCCAATTTTCTAGCTCTCCCTGGATTCCATGCAATCTAACCTTCCAAAGCAGTCTACCGTGTGGAACCTTGTGGTTGGCTCGCACGCTGAGCTAGTTTGTTAGTTCGCAGACGTTTCATTACCCTGTTGGGTAACATCATCAGTGCAGCCTCTGAAGTGCTGTTGTGTTTTCCCACCTGGTATATAAACTCTGTGGTCCATTGGAGTTGATTACCTCATTTCCAGTTTTTCTTCGCAGTGGTGTATATATAGGGTCTAATTCTACCTGTTTATTGATGGCCTTCTTGGTAGAGAACCAGGCCTCTTAAAAATTCCCGTGCTTGTCTCTAATGTTGTCCCAATCGAACTGGTGGTTCTCCTTGTCTGTGCGAATGGAGACGAGTGAGTATTGGTTGTGTCTTTTTGTTGCTTGTTGGTGTTCATGTATTCTTTTGGCCAGTTTCCTTCCTGTCTGTCCAATGTAATGTTTGTTGCAGTCCTTTTACGCAATCTTGTATATCACGTTGGTTCTGTCCATAGTCGGTAAGGGGTCTTTGGTTCGAGATAACAGTTGGCGTAGGGTTCAATCATTACATTGGCCACAAGAATACATGAACCCCAACAGCACAGGAATTTCTAGAGGCCTGGTTCTCCAGCAAGAAGGCCATCAATAAACACATAGAACTAGACCCTACATATACGTCACTGCAAAGAAAAACCAGAAATGAGGTAATCAACTCCAATGGACCGGAGAGTTTAAATGCCAGGCAGGAAAACACAACAGTGCTTCATCGGAGGCTGCACTGATGCTGTTACCCAGCAGAGTAATGAAACATCTGCGAACTAATGAATCAGCTCGGCGAGTGAACCAACCACAGCATCCACAACCCGAGCTACAAATCTACTCAAGAACCTTAGACATGTGGAACCTTATCAAAGGTCCTACTGAAATCCATATGGACTATGTCTGCTGCCCTGCCCTTGTCAACCTTCCTGGTCACTTCATCAAAGAACTCTAACAAATTTGTGAGGCATGGTGTCCCACACACGAAGCCATGCTGACTACTCCTAATCAAACCCTTTCTTTCCAAATGCATGTGTATCTTATCCCTCGGAATCTTCTCAAGTAATTTACCCACCACAGATGTTGGGCTTACTGGTCTGTAATTCCCAAGTTTTTCTTTGCAGCCCTTCTTGAATAAGGGCACAACATTCACCACACTCCAGTCTTCCAGGACCTCACCCATGGCTAACAGTGGTGCAAATGTATCAGCCAGGGCCCCCACAATTTCTTCTGTAGCCTCTTGCAGGGTTCTTGGACATATCTGGTATTTTGCCCTTATTACATCTTCTGCTGAATGTAATTGTAAAACAAGTTGTTTTTGAACTTTTTGTGAGGTAGAATTTTACTATAATTTTACAAGCTATCCTGTGAAAGATCCAAAAATAACATTAGGGATACATTTGTCAGCTATACTGATTTGATGTTGGTCCATGTATCTATAGAATTTGGATGCCAAAATGTATCTTTGAATAAAATCTCTAATTCTTGCATAGAAAAATAGAAAGTAGGAACAGAGGTAGGCCATTCAGCCCTTCAACCTGCTTTGCTATTCGATATGATTATTACTGATCATCCAACACAGCACCCTGTCCCAGCTTTCTCCTCATACCCTTGAATCCCTTTAGGCCTAAGAACTGTATCAAACTCATTCTTAAAAACATGTAGTGTTTTGGGCTCAACTGCATTTTGTGGCAGACAATTCCACAGGTTCACCACTGTATGGGTGAAGAAATTTGTCCACATCTCAGTCCTAAATAGCATACCCATTGTTCTTGCATTGTGTACTCTGGTTCTACACTCCCCATTCATCACTAGAATCTTTCCTATGTTTACTTCATCTTGTGCTGTTAGAATTTTATAGGTTTCTGTGACACTTGCCTTCATTCTTCTTAGCTCCAGTGAATATAGTCCTTAACTGATCAGTCTGTCTTCACTTGTCAGTCCTGTCATCCCCGGAAATAGTCTGGTAAACGTTCATTGCCCTCCCTCCATAGCCAGGAAAACCTTTCTCAGATGAGGAGACCAAAACTGTACATGTGTGCTCTTGCAAAGACCCTGTAATTTGCAACAAGACATCCCTACTCCTGTACTTGTCTATCCCTACTTACTTCTGTCTGCTAACCTGTTTCTGTCCATGTCAGTACATTATTCCCAAAGTCCAGGTGATATTTTACTTCTGAGCCAGGAGGCCTGAGTTCAAGTCCCAGCTGCTCCAGAAATGTGTAATAACGTCTCTGAACAGTTTAATATAAAAAATATATAAGCACATCCACTGGCTCCCACTTACTCTCCTAGTCACATCCTCAAAAAATTCCAGTAGATTTGTCAAGTGTGATTTCCCTTTTGTAAATACATGTTGACTCTGCCTTATCTTGTCACCGTTTTCCAAGTGTCTCAACTATGTCCAAATCCCTTTCCCTACTAATACTGATTGATTTCTTTCAGCTACTCCCTCTCACTAGATCTTGTTTTTGGGTGTTATTTCTGTCCTGTTTTGTGAAGAACCAAAATATATATATTTAACTGGTCTACCATCTCTTTGTTTCCTATTGTAAAGGACCCTACTAAGACCTTGTCTTCATTAATCTTTTTCTCTCCACAATCGGTTTGTATGTTTCCTGTAAGCTTACTGTTGTACTCTTATTTTCATAATCAATCTGTTTGTCCCCCTGTGCTGAAATATAAACTGCTCCCAATCCTCAGGTCTGCAGCTTTTTCTGCCCTTTCCTTGGATCTGACTGTATCCCTAGTTTCCCTTGTTAGCCATAGTTGGGCCACAATTTCCATTTTATCTTTGTGCCAGACAGGAATGAATAATTGTTGCAATTCCTCATTCCCTAACCACTGTCATCACGTTATGTGATGTTCCACAATTTACTATAGTCAGTTTGCACCTCATAACATAAGAGGAAATAACAATTTAGATTCAGGACTTTAGTCTCAGAGCCAATTATGCCAGTCTCCATCTTGATGAATAATACTACCATACTTTGGTCGTTTCTTCTCAAAGGGCACCGCATGGGAAGATTGTCAATTATTCCTGCCTTAATACACAACACCCAGTATAGGATGGCCTGGTCTCTAGTTGGCTTCTCAAAGTATTGATCCAGAAAACCAACTCATATACACTCCAGAAATTTCTCTTCCATGGCATTGTAATTGATGTAATTTGCCCAATCTATATACTGATTAAAGTTGGCCATAATTACAGCTGTACCTTTCATTGCTTGTGTCTCTAATTTCCTGTTTAATGACTTCCCCAATATTACCACTGTAGTTTGAGGACCTATATATAAACCCCACTATTGTTTTCTACCCTTTTGGTTTTTTTTAGCTCTACCCATACAGATTCTACTTCGCTGGAACTAATATCCTTCCTTACTGTTGCATTAATTTCTGTTTTAATCAACAATACTACCCCATCTCCTTTTACTCTCTTTCCTTCCTTAAAACTGAATACTCCTGAATATTCAGCTGCCATTCTTGGTCATCCTGTGGCCATGTGTCCATAATCCCAACTGTACCTTACGCATATATCTACAACTGATTCATCAGCTTTGTTGCAAATGGTTAGCACATTCAGACATAGGCCTTGTCTTTTTATAATATTCTTAGTCCTGTTCACATTATTTTGCATTGTGACCCTGTTTGATTCTTACCCTGAATTACTGTCTGTCACTTTTTTCCTTTTTTGTTTTTGCCCTTGTTTCCCTCTCTTCTGTCTCCCTCTATTGGTTTATAGCCCCTGCCATTTTAGTTTAAACACTCCCAACCACAATAGCAGAAAGTTTCCCCCACACGTTTATTCCGGTCCTGCCCAGGAACAACCCATCCAGCTTGTATTGGAACCAGCTTCCCTAGAATCTGAAACCTTCTTCCTTGTATCATCTCTCCAGCCATGTATTCATCTGATATATCCTGCCATTTCTACTCCGACTAGAATTTTGCACTGGTGGCAATCCTGAGATCACTTCTTTTGAGGTCCTACTTTTTTAACTTTCTTCCCAACTCCCGATATTCTGCTTTTCGGACTTCATCACATTTTTTAAACCTACATCCTTGGTACAGATATGTACCATGACACTGACTTTTCACCCTCCCACTCCAGAATGTCCTGCAGCCACTTTGAGATTTCCTTGAACGTAACACCTGGGAGACAACATGTCATCCTTGAGTCTTGTTTGCAGCCACTGAAATGTCTATGCCCCGTACATTTGAATCGGCTATTACTATACCCGTCTCTCTCATATTCCTCCTCTTCTGTGCAGCAGAGCAACCATGGTACAACAAATTTGGCTGTTGTTTCTTCCCTCTGAAAGGCTATTTCCCCCTCCCAAAACAGTATCTAAAGTGGTTTATCTGTATTGCAAGGGAATGGCCACAGGGGATTCTTGCACCACCTCTTTCTCTGCTTGATGGTCATCCATTCCCTCCCTGCCTGTACAGTGACCTCTCTGTATGTGCTAGTCATGATATGGTCAGCCTGACAATGTCCTCAGCCACTGCTAAAGTTCCAAAACTCAGACTCCCAGGAGCAGCAGCTAGAGACACTTCTTGCACATGTTTGGTCTTGTGTACTGGAACATTGCTCGACTTCCTTTGGAGAGCAGGAGCATACCACGGTCTTGAGCTCTCCTTCCACAACTTAAATTAAGCTCTTAATATCGTTTGATTTTAAGTTAAATCTAACAACTCTGGGGCACTTCTTCTGTGGGTTTCTGCACTTTTGTCCTTATAAACTATAAAACTAAAATAAAGATCTTACAAACTACCTAAATGATAAACATAGTATAAATACTCACCCAACCTTACTCATCCAGTCAGTTGCTTCCTCTTGGCATGTGTCATGTTTTGACACTGTCCTAGACTGCTTTACTACAATGCTGAATATGGGACACATTTCCCAAACTGCTTCACTGTGATGTTAACTTTGGGGCACACTTTCCAGACTGACTCACTGCTGACTCTTCCTGTTCCTCATGTTATGGTGCATTGATTATATGCTCAATCTTATTAAAACTCCACTGCAAAATGAAATTGTCTCACAAAATAAAGTGCTTCTTTGTTTAAGCAAAAAGATGTTATTCCGGATTTCCATTTCATGTAGTCGTATGAATCTGTAATTTTTAATGTAGCAGAACTATATTCACTTGCATATCATTTTCCTTTAATTTATAAGGACAGATGGTATATACAGTAAGACAACGTTGTGGGCGGCAGCTTGCTATTGAAGCACCTGTTGATGCAGACTTGGTTAGCACGGTTCCTGAATCTGCAACGCCAGCAGCACTTGGTTATGCACAAGAGGTACATATTAAACTAAAAACATAATAACGCGATGCAATAACGTAGTTTCATAAAACATTACAGAATGGGAGCTATTTTGCCCATTTTGTTTGTGCTGGCATTTTGGTAGAATTGTCCACTGCCTTGCTCTCTTCCCATAGACCTATAGATTTTTTTTCTTTTTTTTTATTTTCCGAATTCTTTTGAAATTACCATTGAGTCTGTTTCTACCACTATCTTAGCCAACATATTCAAAATCACAACAACCCAGTTTTTTTTGAAAAGGAAGTAGTTTTCTAATATATATTCTGGTTATTGACCATTATGTCATTTGATACAGTTTTTTCCTTATTTACTGTGTTAAGCCACAAGATCGAACACCTCTCTCCTCTTGAACTTTTCTGAAAAACACCAACTTCTCCAGTCTATTCACATGATTGAAGTTTCTCATTCCCGGTACCATTCTGCGAAATCCTTTCTGTACCCCTGTCTCAAAGCCTTGACATCTTTCTGAAAGTTTGTTGTCTAGAATGAACATTATCCAATTAACCTGAGGTTTAACTAGTATTTTAACTTCTTAATATAAATTCTTGCTACTAATTTTATTGCTACTAATAAAATCAAGAATCCCACTTTTCTCAAGTCTTCCCAACTTGTCTTATCACCTTCAAAAGATGGCACGCACAGCCCAGATTTCTACACCCCTTTACAACTATTTAGTTGAATTTGTCTCTCTCTATCCTTCTCCTAAACTTCTCTGTGAAAGTTATTTGACTTCCCATTTCACAATTTGATAGACCCCTGAAGTCTATTAATATTCGTAATCATTGTTTACTATATTTAGGTTTTGTCATTTGCAAACTTTGAAATTCCATCCTTTATACCCAAATCTAGGTCACACGTATATTTATCAAAAAGAGCAATGGACCAGAATATTGTTTCTTAAAAAAAAGAATAAATTAGCAAGAAATATAAAACAGATTGTCAGAGCTTCTACAGGTATGTAAAAAGGAAGAGAGTAGCAAAAGCAAGTGTTTGCAGGAAGAGAAATTATAATGGGGAATAAGGAAATGGTAAAACCTTTTTTTTTTGTCCTCACTGTAGAAAAGATTTAAATTGTGGTTAATTAAACGGCTAATAAATGTGAGGACCTTTTAAGTACTATAATTTGATAGCTGTAAAGGAAACACACTGGAGAAACAAAAAGATTCATTGTTTGTTCTCTTCCAAAATTGCCTAGATTCTAAAATCTGCTTAATTAATTAATTGGAAGGTTACAGCGGTCACACTAGAGAACATAGGCAACTTGGAGGCTGGTTAGTTTGATGTTGGTTGTTAGGATAATGTTGGAACCTATTATTAAGGAGCTGTTAACAAAACATTTAGAAGGATCAAAATGCTTTTTTTATGAAAGGGAAATCATGTCTGACAAATATATTAGCTTTTTGAGGATGTAACTGTTGGTGGTTAAATAGTAGATGTGGTGTGTTTGAGTTTTCAAAAGAATTAACAAACTGACACTTAAAAGGTTATTGCGCAAAATTAGGGCTCATTGGCTTGGTGTAATGGACCAAATTTTCCAGATAATTGGAGAGGAGATATAAGTTTGGAGGTTCACATCAAGGCTTTGCAGAATCTGTAATGTGCAGACATGCATTGAAATTGTCTGAGAATTTTAAAGTTGAAATTGGCTGATTCCCTGTAGTCTGAGACCTGTGTGAAAATCTCTGATCCAGTTACGCAGGACATACCCCTCGACTTGCCATGTAACTAGAATAGAATAGAATATCCTTTATTGTCACATGTACTCAAGTACAGGAGTACAGTGAAAAGATTTTACAATGGCTGCCTTTTATGATGTCATACAAGTACTTAGGTACAGATCTTACAGAGTAAAAAACAAATAGTGTTACAGGATAAAATAGAATATAGAATATATAGATATAGTGAAAATATCCAGAATGACGATAAGCAACTATAAGTACTTAAGTTCAGCCCGTGCTCCGGTGGCACGGGGGGCCATGTACCCAGTTTAATTACTTGATCTAGCTGCAGATTACTATCCCCAAAAACTTACCCATTCACACAACTATTCTCTGGCCCACACTTCTTCATTACAACTTGAAAATGCAGGCAATCCCCAGGTTACAAATACACTTTGTTTTTAAAACAACACTAAACAGTTAATAAATATCTCCAGCTTTGGTCCTGTAGTGAGTCTGAAGAGTTAAAAATGTAAAATGAAGAAGATGGCGGATTGAGTTGAAACAAGTGTTTTGTATTGATCTTCATTGTAGAGATTAGGGGTCAGTTAGCTCAGTTAGCTGGACAGCTGGTGTACGATGCAGAGTCACGCCAATAGCATGCACTCAGTTCCTACACCAGCTAAAGTTATCAGAAGTACTGTCCTTCTCAACCTGTCTCCTTGTTTGAGGCCTGGTGCCCCTAATACTAAACCACCACTATAACTTTGTTATATAGGATAGTAGTCACCTCCTAGAAGTGGCAATAAATCAGGAAATGGAAGAGAGGGAGAAACTTAGGAAAGTTACAATCACCAAAAAAGTGGTACTGAGTAAATTATTAAAGTTGTGGACTGACAATTCCTGGATCCTGCTAGACTTTGTTTGAAATGCGGCACATGAGTTAGTTGATGTGTTGGTTTTAATTTTCCAAAGTGCCTTTGATTCATGGAAGGTTGCGAGAGATTGGAAGATAGAAAATGTAACTCCTTTATTCAAAAAGGGAGAGAGTCAGAAGCAGGAAACTACAGGCCACGAGGCTTAACATCTGTCATAAATGTTAGAAGCTTTTATTATGAATGTCATTAGTTCACAGTAATCAAGCAGTGTTGATATGTTTTTATGAAAGGGAAATTTTGTTTGACCAATTTCTTGGAGTTCTTGGTGGATGTCCTTGCTGTACTTAGATCTGTAGATAGCATTGGATAAAGTGCTTTGGAGAGGGTGCAGAGGAGGTTCACCAGGATGTTGCCTGGTATGGAGGGCGCTAGCTATGAAGAGAGATTGAGTAGGTTAGGATTATTCACATTAGAAAGACGGAGGTTGAGGGGGGACCTGATTGAGGTCTACAAAATCATGAGAGGTATAGACAGGGTGGATAGCAAGAAGCTTTTTCCTCGAGTGGGGGACTGAATTACTAGGGGTCACAATTTCAAGGTGAGACGGGAAAAGTTTTAGGGAGATATGCGTGGAAAGTTCTTTACGCAGAGGTTGGTGGATGCCTGGAATGCGTTGCCCGCAGAGGTGGTAGAGGTGGGCACAATAGCATCATTTAAGATGTATCTAGACAGATACATGAATGGGCAGGGAGCAGAGGGATACAGGTCCTTGGAAATTTGGCGACAGGTTTAGATAGAGGATCTGGATCGGTGCAGGCTTGGAGGGCCTGTTCCTATGCTGTGATTTTCTTTGTTCTTTTGTTCTCTGAGAGAAGAAATTCCTCCTCATCTCTGTCTTAAATGTGCAGCCCCTTATTCTGAGAACAATAGGGTGGGTGGGAATGTGGGTTTGATCTATCTGAGTGCGACTGCCCCTTGAAAGGCACAGTCTTTAAATTTTTGATCATGTTTTATTATGAGGTACTTTATCAAAATGTGTCTGGGAAGTCGAGATATACATTGTCAACCTCGCTGCTCTCCTAACACTTCATTACTCATCAAGTGAGTTAAATCATTTGGATTTCTAAACTTTGATATACTAGCAATGCAGTGTTGTGAAGGTTGTACCAGTAATTTTAATGGTGCAAAATAGGTTGCCTGACCCATGGTCCACAGACCAATCGGGGCTGACCACAGCATTACATGCGGCCCAACATTTGGGCAGCATGGTGGCTCATGTTCCAGGGTGGCTTCACAGCACCAGGGACCCTGGTTCAATTCCAACCTGGGTGACTGGAGTTTGCGTGTTTTCCCCGTCTGTGTATTTTCGCTGGATGCTCTGGTTTCCTCTCTCAGTTCAAAACTGTGACTCGGTGAATTGGCCATGCTAAATTGTCCATAGTGACTAGGGATGTGCAGGCTAAGTGGAATAGTCCTGGTAACCGCAGGGTTATGTGGGGTGGGTAGGTAGCTGGGCCTCGAAGGATTGGTGCAGGCTTGATGTGCCGAATGGCCTCTTTCTGCAGTGTAGGGATTCTATGATTCTACAACAGCTGTTTTAAATTACAGCTCATTCATAGATTTGGCAAGGAGCTACTCCTCCAATCAGAAGCCTTTTGTCTCTCCCTTGTGTGCTACTGCAAGTTTACTGGTGAGCCTATCAGTAGCAAATGTGGAGGGTACCCATCTGTAATTGGAGGAGCACTGAACGACCCAAGGCCTGGAGACTTGTTAGTGAGATGACAGGTCCTGTGCTGGGAACAGGAGGCTTCCTGCTTCAGTTCCAGAACTCCAAAAACTACCAGTCCTTTACAGAAAGAAAGGAATGGGACCTGCTTTTGGAGAGAGGGGCTCTCATCTGAATCCTCCTTGTCCCTGGACACTACCTTGAAGCAGTCATACAGGGACACCTGGTAGTGGATGGAGTTCTGCCTGTCTGCCTTGCTGTTCATGTGGAAGAGCTGATTTTGACCACATACTCCTAGATCTGACTGAGGGATCACTTTCTTGTCCGGGGCTTTCTGGATCACCTGGCAGTCAAGGTAAGTAGGAGTACAGGGGCTGGACCAACTTGAACAGCTCTTTAAAAACCGAAAGAACTATGGATGCTGTAAATCAGGAACAAAAACAGAAGTTGCTGGAAAAGCTCAGCAGGTCTGGCAGCATCTGTGAAGGAAAAAACAGCGTTAACATTTCGGGTCCGGTGACCCTTCCTCAGAACTGGTTCAACAGCTCTTTGTACCCTGCAGCCCAGATTGCTGCTGCTGCTGAAAGCTAGGGGGAGGTGAGCAGGAATTGCTGCCTGCTATAGGAGGGCAGCAGGAAAAGGCCTGGGCTCTGGCTATGCAGGTAAGGTGCCTGGAAATCCACCAACTCCAGCCCTGTTGAGCCATTGTTAAGGGTTAGTAGTTCCTAGGTACTTTGCCTGGGTTCATGAAGTTCTTGAAGTAGACCGTTGAGATTGAGACTTGCAGCACTGCCTTGGTGCAGAGCTGTGTTGTATTGCATTTTCAACAACTTTTAGAAGGATTTTTGTTGTTAATTGTTCATTTCCCCAGCAAGATTTGATTTTTTTTTTTTAATATATAAAAGCCCCATGGATTATTTTCTTGAAGTTAAAGATGCAGAATGAGAAGAGCGAGGGAGCGCATGCAAGAGATAAGGGGAGAAGGAAGAAGAAAAGTGGGCTATGAGAAGAAGAAACACATACTGAAAATCAACCCATTTCTGATTCCCAATTTCACTAGAATTCCGGCAAGGCCAGCTGGAAGTGTACACCATGCTGTGTAAAATCAGTGTTAGTAACTCCTTTGGTTGGTCCCAGTTGCCATCTTCTTTCTTGGTGATCATCAATTGAGGCTGATTTTTTTTTTTTTTTTTTTTTTTTTTTTTTTCTCATTCTTAACCAAAAAGCCAAAAATGGCTTTATTATTAAGCTTTGCTTAGTGCTTTTTAATGGCTATTTCTGTTGATTACTACTCAATTTGCATTATCAATTGTATTGTTTAAAATTTTTTTTGTGGTGAAGTTCAGTTTTACTATCCTGGTCCCCCAAGGGTGAGAAAAATTGAAATGTGCCATCTCAGGCCATATGCAAACGTTGGCCAGCACTGATATAAGAGAAAGCAACAGCTAGTTCAGAGTAATAAGCAATTGAAAATCAAAGGGAAAGGATTTTAAGCCCTATCCTCTATCAGTTAATTTAGATGTTTCAGAGTGGGTAATTACCATGCATCACATTCTAAAATAGTGAAAGGTTAACTTCTAGGAATTAAAAATTGTTACTGTTCTATTACAGGCAGGACTTCCATATGTAGAAGTGCTCTGCAAAAACCGTTATGTGGGCAGAACATTCATTGCACCAAATACAAGACTGCGGCAACTTGGGGTAGCACAAAAATTTGGAGCCTTGAGTGATAATTTTGCTGGAAAGCGGATTGTGTTGATAGACGATTCAATTGTGCGTGGAAATACTATTTCTCCAATCATTAAAGTCCTGAAGGAAGCAGGTGCAAAAGAGGTATTAGAAAGAATGTTCCAAAAGAAATTGTAATATTGTATATTTTATAGTATACATTGTACTGCATGTTAGTGTGAAATTGAATGTATAGATAAATATAATTTACTACATTTTTAAACAATCAATTTGTTCTTGCATGTCATTTCTCTGTATTTCACTCACTTAGCATTTCTTCAGATGGTGTATCATGTTAAATAATCATTCAAAAAATTATTTTAATTAGATGATTTTCTTCAACTGAGAAGCTTAGACTACATGAGGTTTCTTATCTTTAGAAAACTGTTTTTACAGGTACACATTCGTGTGGCTTCACCTCCAATAAGATTTCCTTGTTATATGGGAATTAACATTCCAACAAAAGAAGAGTTGATTGCCAACAAACCAGAATTTGAAGATCTTGCAGGCTATATAGGTTTGTTGAGATTTCTATTTTGTCATACATTCTGATAATGGTGATGGTAAAATTTGATTTGATTTATTATTGTCACATGTACCAAGATACACTGAAAAGTATTGTTTTGTGTGACAAACGGACAAATCATACCTTGATGGATGTCTTTTGGTTTCACTGTGGCTTCTTAACTAAAATTTTTGTGAAATTGTACCAGAATACTTTCTTTGTTTGATTCTTTAATGGTAGACCAATATTTATCAGTGTATTATCTGAATGCATAATTTCATCTTCAAACCATCTGTCATAGAGCAACCAAACTAGTGTTATTTATACAGGGCCGTTGCAGCATACTTTTGCCATCTTTGACATTAAATGTGTAGCCTATTAATTTGTTAAAAAATCCAAACCGTATACTTCCTAACTTAAAAGTGTGGTTCTATATAGATTCCCACAGGAATCACTTGAAAAGCCAGAGTTGGGTTCCGTTGGACATTTTCTTGCCTGGAAAACTGAAGTGCAAGTAGAAATACTGTATCATACATGTGCAGTATTGCAGATTGCCTGCTGTAAAACCTGAAGAAATAAATCACTAAATATGAAAGCAATACACTTGGTACTTTAGGATCTTTTCAGCAGAAAAAAACTGAAAAATTATAAATAAAAAAATACCAAAGAACTGACGATGCTGGAAATCAAACAAAAAGAGGAATTGTTGGAAAATTCAGCAGGTCTGGCAGCATCTGTGGACAGAAAGCAGGGTTAACGTTTCAAGTCCAGTGACTGATGCTGCCAGACCTGATGAGTTTTCCCTGCAATTTCTGGTTTGTTTTGAAAAACTAAGTTGAAACTCAGCAAATTCTAACACATTCATAAATGAAATAACCTTCAAACTAAAATATATTAAAAATACAATATAAATGTGAATATTGTAAATGTAAAGGGAATTAAACTCATCAGCACCGACCTTCCCTAGCCCCACCCCTCCTCTATTTATTTCAGAGCTCCCTCCCCCATTTCTGAAGAAGGGTCCTGACCCGAAACGTCAACTTTCCTCCTCTGATGCTGCCTGGCCTGATGTGCTCCTCCAGCTCCACACTGTGTTACCTCTGACTCCAGCATTGGCAGTTCTTACTATCTCTTAAAACTCATCAAAATGCCTGATTTTGTATTAAACAAGCACTATCTAGTGGCAGACATTTATTGGTGCAGCTAACAACTGAAGAGGTCCCAGGACTCTAGGCTGAGAGTAGGAGCATGGCAGAAAAGTCAATTGAAGCTGTATGCAGTGAAGGCAACTGGCACTGGAACTTTAAAGTGACAATGCAGGGTGGGAATGGGAACTTGGAAGGAAGTGGGACTTCAGAGTGTAGGAGCAAAAGCAAAAGCTGCATTGATCCCACCAGCACTCAAGAAAATGTTTTGTGTGCTGCATGGGATATGTAGATCACCGATCAGGAAGTCTGTACTAAGGATGTATAGCCAATTTTGCAATGTTAAAGGGAAATATAAGAACTAGGACTAGGCCATCTGGCCCCTCGAGCCTGCCCCGCCATTTAATAAGATCATGGCTGATCTTTTTGAGACTCAGCTCCACTTACCCACCCACTCACCATAACCCTTAATTTCTTTACTGTTCAAAAATTTATCTAGCCTTGCCTTAAAAACATTCAGCAAGGTAGCTGAACATAAGCTCTATTTAATGAACTATGTCAAATGGAGACATACATCAGGTTATATTTCTAGATTTGAATTTTTCAATGAAGTGACTGGTTGTGTGGCTGAGGACCATGCTTTTGCTTGGACTTCAGCAAAGCTTTTGATAAAGTCCTGCTTGGGAGACTGATAGCAAAGGTAAAACCCCATGGGTTCAACACTTGGTTGAGTGGCAGGAAGCAAATGATGGTTGAGGGGTGCTGTTCCAATGGGAAGTCTGTGTCCGTTGGAGTCCCATAGGAGTCTGTGTTGGTGCCCTTCCTGTTTGTTGTTTATATAATTGATTTAGACTTGAATGTAGGAGGATTGATTAGTAAGTTCATATATGATTCAAAATTGGTAGATCAGTAATTAGTGATGAGTATAGCCTTAGACTTAAAAGAGGATATAGACAGGCTGGTCAGTGGGTTGATGGAGTGGCAAATGGAGTGCAATTCGGATAAATGTGAGGTGATGCACTTGGGCAGGACAAACAAGAAAAGATAATACGTGATTAACAGTAGGACCCTTGAAAGCAGTGGGTCAGAAAGGTTCCTTAGTGTGTATGCACATCAATTCCTTAATATTTCAGGACAAAATCATTAAGAAGGCAAATGATATACTTGTCTTTATTAGTTGAGACATAGAGTTTAAGAGCAGGGAGGTTAGACCTCAGCTAGAGTATTGTGTACAGTTCTGGAAGCCACGTTATAGGAAGCATGTGATAGCATTGTGTAGGGTGCTGAGGAGATGTACCAGGATGTTGCCTGGACTGGAGAATTTATCATGAAGAGAGATTGTACAGACTGGGGTTGTTGTACTTGGAGTAGAGGTGTTGAGAGAGACCATGACTGAGATGTATAAAATTATAAGGGACACAGACAGGAAGAAACATTTCCCCTTGTGGAAGGATCAATGACCAGGGGCACAGATTTTAACGGTTAACCCTGCAAAAGAGTTTGAGGAAATGTAAGAAAAAACTTTCCCACCCAGAGGATGGTGGGAATCTGGAACTCATTGCTTGTAAGGGTGATTAGAGGCTGAAAGCCTGTAGCATTTAATAAGTATTTAGATGTGCACTTGCGATGCCAAGGCATACAAGGACAAGTGCTGGAAAATGGGATACAAATAATTAGGTGCTTGTTTCTGACTGGCACAGACTTGATAGGCTGAACAACCTTGTTCTGTGCTGTAGATCTCCGATTCCATCTCCACTGGGTTTGTTTTGACGAGAACAATGATGGGTGAGGGATCTTGATAGAAGTGTATAAAATTGAGAGGAATGGATAGTTTGGAGTCTTTTTCCCAGGATGGAAATGTCAAATGCTAGGGGGCATAGGTTTAAGGTGTGAGGAGAAAAATTTCAATGTGGTGTGCAAGGAAAAGTTTTTAATAGATGCCTGGAAATACTGCCAGGAGAGGTGGTAGAAGCAGAGATGATAGCAATGTTGAAGGGGCACTTAGACAGACACATGAACAGGCAGGGAAAAGAGGGATATGGACCATGTGCAGGCAGATAGCATTAGTTTAGAATGGGGGGGATGATTAGAATCATGGTCAGCACAGACATGGCAGTCCATAGGGCCTGTTCTGTGCTGTACTGTTCAGTCTTCAATGTTGTATTCCAAAAATTGTTTTAAATCAAGAGGTGAGAGGGAGAGATGAGCTTGAAACATTTAGTCATCAGGGAAAGTGTACCGAGGAAAACCGTTAGAACTAAAGGTTAAGAATTTACCAAGACTTGATGGAGTTCTTCTTAGGGACTTAAAATAAGCGAATGTGGAAATAGTAAATGCATTGGTTGTAATTTTTCAAAGTTGCCTAGGTTTTGGAAAGACCTCATCAGATTAGAAAATGATGAAAGAAACACCTTTCCTTTAAGAAAGGAAGGAGACAGAATACCCGAAACTACTGGCCAGTGGGTGAGTGTTCGTGTTGGCAAGCTTTAATTGGTGGTGTGTCTGAGAGACCTGTGTTGGGTCTCAACTATTTACAATCTATATCAGTGATGTAGAAGAAGTGACTGAATAGTGTTTTTATTTCATCAGTGATCTTAAACATAAAGAGCAAGTTATAAAGAGGATATATGGGATCTGTAAAAGGACGATGATAGGTTAAGACTGGGCAAAATTTGGCAGATGGAAAGTAACGTGGAAACATGTCAACTTGCCCACTTTGACAGGAAAAGTATTTAAATCACCAGAGATTGCTGAACTGATGTACAAAGGAGTGTCCTAATACATGAATCAGAACAAGATAGTATGCTGATACAGCAGATGGTAAGGAAGACAAATCAATACTATCATCTATTACAAGGGGAATGGAATTTTAAAGGACGATGTTTTGCTGTTGTTGTACAAGGTGTTGATGAGACCACTTTGAAGTACTGTGTAAAGATTTGGTGGCCTTTCTCAAAGAAGGTAATTGTGTTAGAAACTAATCAATATGTCACTTGATTCCTCCGATGAAGGCGTCACCTTATGAGGAAAGGTTGCACCTCTGTCCATTGGAGTTTAGAAAAGATGACTTTGTTGAAACATAAGATTCTGATGGGACTTGACTTGTGGGTGCTGAGAAGCTATTTCCCCTAATGGGAAAGGCTACAACTAGAGGAACACTTTATGGTTTAGGGATCTCCTATTTAGTTTGAGTTTGATTGTTGCCACATGTACCAAGATACAGTGAAAAGTGTTGCATTGCTTGCTATATAGGCAGATCATACCATACAAAGTGTATCAGGGTAGCAGAGTACAGGGCATAATACAATATTATAGCCGCAGAGAGAGAGAGAGATCAACATTCCTATTTGAGAGGTCTGTTCAAAATTCTGATAACGGTGGGCAGGAACCTGTTCTTGAATCTGTTCATAAGTGTATTCAAACTTTTATATCTTCTGCCCAATAGAAGAGGGTGGAAGAGAGTACAGTTGAGGTGGGAGAGGTCTTGATTATATTGGTTGCTTTCCTGAGGCAGCGGGAAGTTTAGATGAAGTCAATGGATAGAAGGCTGGTTTGTGTGATGGACTGTGTTCACGACTCTCTGTAGTTTCTTGCGGTCTTGGGAAGAGCAGTTGCCACACCACGCTGTGATGCATCCATTCAAGGTAGGATGCTTTCTCTGGTGCACCGGTTAAAAATTGGTAAGCGTCATTGTGAGCATGCTGAATTTTCTTAGCCTCCTGAGGAAGTACAGTTGTGCTGTCTTGATTGTTGGTGATTTTCACTCCCAGGAAGTTGATGTTCTTGACTATCTCCATCTTAGCACCATTGATGCAGACAGAGACGTGCCCTCCACTCTGCTTCATGAAGTCACTTACCAGCTCTTTCGTTCTGCTGACATTGATGGAGACATTGTTGTCTTTACACCATGCCACTAAGCACTCAATCTCTTTTTCTGTACTCTGTCTTGTCATTATCTGAGATCCAATCTACAATGGTGGTGTTGTCAGAAAACTTGTAAATGGAGTTGAGGTAGAATTTGGCCACAGTTGAGTTTGTGAGGAGTATAGTAGGGGGCTGAGTACACAGTCTTGCAGGGCACCTGTACTCAGGATTATTGTGAAGGAGGTGTTGCCTATTCTTATTGATTGCGGTCCATAGGTCAGGGAAGTCCAGGTTCCAGTTACAGGGGTGGGGAAGCCATGACCAGGGTCTCAGAGTTTGGAGATGAGTTTGTTTGGAATTATAGTTTTGAAGGCGGAGCTCAAGTCAATTAATAGGAGCCTAATGTAGCTATCCTTGTTATCTAGATGTTCCAGGGATGAGTATAAAGCCAGGGAGATGGTCTTCTGTGGACCTGTTGTGATGGTAGGCAAATTGCAGAGGATCAAGGCAATCGGGTGGGCTGGAGTTGATGTGAGCCATGACTAACCTCTCGCAACACTTCATAATTAAGCTGCTGGGCTTAAGAAGGCTGATCTGAGGTCTGTGGCAGTGACTATGGGTACAGGTGCATCTGAGGCTGTCAGGACAGATGACATTGTTTCAGTGACTTCCTGTTCAAAGTGAGCATAGAATGCATTGAGCTCATCGGGGAGAGATGTTCTGTTGCCCGTTGTAAATACTTTAAGATACATATGACGACAATGTTTTTCTACAAGTGTTTATTTAGTCTCTGGAATTCCCTTCCCCCAGAGACAAAAGTGTCAGTAGAGTCATTGGTTATTTGAAAGGCAGAGTTAGATTCATCCTTCATTGCCAAGGAGGTCAAAGGGTCTAGAGGCTATACAGGAAATTAAATGTGAGGCCACAATCATATCTCAAGATCAATGGCCTGGAGTATATTCATTGCATTTACTAGCCATCTCCTGTTCCTAATTCATATGTTTGCATTTAATCTAGCTGCAGTATATGATTTTCCATTTTTTTTGAAAATTGCTATGTATATTTACAGAACACCAAAGGCTAAATTACATTTTTGGCTAACTACTAAATATTTTTAAATTTCCTTTTTTTTTTAATAGGAGCAAATAGTGTGGTTTATCTCTCTGTCGAAGGATTGGTGTCTGCTGTACAAGAGGGAATTAAGAGCCAGCGAACAAATTCCATCCTAAATTATACTGAAATTGACAAAAATGTATCTTCTAGGCAAACAGGTCATTGCACGGCTTGTCTCACAGGAAAATACCCTGTGGAGCTCGAATGGTAAAATTACTTTGTATAATTTTAAGTGATTCATCTGAAATTGTTTTTCAGATTTGAATAGTGTCCAAGGACATGATGGTGCTCTGTTATTTTCTAGGTCAGCACCCATGATATTTTCTTTTATCAATTGAGTATTTTTTATATCCGCTTGGTGTTTCCATGGTTGCCTTTTTTGTGCCACCATTCTATATACTATGTATTGGTGAATCACCATCTTCATACATATTTTCATGGTGCATTGCAATAAGAATGTGTCAACTGTAGGTTTGTTGAGGACTGTCAAATGAACTACTGTTGATGGAAACTATTCTAACTACAAAAGGCAAACACTTTCACCTACTGTCAAAAATATGTTGCAAATAATTTGAATTAAAAATAACTCTGTTCCTGTTAGGGTACCTCAATGTGAGAGAACTGAACAATGTAGTATGTGTTTTGAGGGTCTGATTCATAACTTACATGTACATGTTGTAGCTTTAAGCATAGACCGCTTTTTTTTTTTTAAGCTGCTGAATGGGATTGAAGAGTTCCTTGCTCCAAAACCTAACCTAGATCAAGTTCACATGTAAACTTGGAGTCATGATGGGCAACCATTGAAAATTCTTGGATGCTTCTAGGTCTAGGTTTGGTAAAAGGCCAGCATCTGCACACTTTGTTAAAGATGTGACAAAAATGAGTAAAACAATAAATAACCCTTCAGCCCTCACTCCAGCACACCTCCCATGCCAACTCATATGCTGTACCTGTCTCCATAGACCATACTTCTCAAACCTGTGCTGCAGTGATTACATCTCATGGCCCACATACCTCTATGCCAATCCATGCCTTCTTCCCACTTTACTTTGCCATTACACCTACAAAGAACTCAGCCAGTGTCTGTCAATTAAATTGAATTTGTTTCTATTGATTAACTCATTCCATAAACAAACTCTTAACTGATGAAAGCTCATCACTATTTTTGTATTCCTTTGATCAATTATTAAAGACAAGCATTTGAATTCAGAGTTCCACTTAAAAACGTTTATGACCATTTGGACTGTCAGTAGAAATATGAACTGACCTGCAACCTGCTGTGATAGGGTGTGAAACAAATCATGCACCACTAATCTTGCAATGATGGCTCTCAGGCTGCTGTCAACAAGTGTAGTGAAGTAATAAGCACTGACTTTTTTTTTTGCCACTGATTTTTCGTTTGCCTTTGACACCAAGCTTTTTTCAAATATTTAAAGGACAGGGATTTTACATGCCTGAACAGACTCCTTTTGACAACTTCAGTGAGCCCCTTGTGTGCATGTATATGTTGCTTTGAACCTTCCTCAAAGGGCACGTGACATGTTCTAAGAGTGTTCCAGGACCATATTCAAAAGGTACCTTACCTCTCCGAACAAGTACCTTAACTCTGCAAGGAAGCCTGGTAGAGTATGACCTTCCCAACCAGGTCCAAAGTGCACACGTTGTGTTTTGGATATCCTACCAGTAAAACTCTGATCAACCTAATGCTGCTGTTTTTTAACATTTTTAACGGCAGTTGTCTGCGTAAGCTACTGTCGGTGTGAGAATTTTTAAAAAATCTTACTGGGGTTTTTCCCAATTTTTGTGTCTTTAACCATCCTTAAAACTGCTTCTCGTTAGCTGTGAGTAATCAAGAGCATGATAGCTTGTAATATGGCAATAGATCAAGCTCCTAATAATAGTCAGCTGACAGGAACTTGGAACTAAATTTATATAATTTTTGTTTAATACATACAATAATTGAGATTATCGAGTTATAAATACTTGCATTCAGAGTTTTTGAGTGTCTGAATCTTTGGACCGACTGTCATACTTCATTATTTCAGTTTGCAAAGGTTTACATTTGAACAGCCATCAAGTTTTCAAGATTAGAATTGTTCTAACCTTTAATACGCTACGGAATATTTATACCCATAGTTATGTTACATACCATATCTTTAATTTTCAGATAAAAGAACTTTCCTTTCATTGTGGCAGCTATATTTCAAACACTGTACTTCTGATTTTAGAATACTAATTAATGAAATTAAGTACAGCATGGAATGGAATTCTTCCTCTGTTTTCCAAAAGAAGTTGATGTATATTAGAGTCAAATGGATTCTGTTTAATTCCGTTCTGGACATAATCGAGTTTTAACAAGACATGAAATGAAATTTTTCTTCCTTAAATCACTGGAAACTCATAAGATGGATTAATATGATAAATAATTTGTACTGCTGAACGTCTACCAGTGTATCATGTCTTAATGCTTTGTAGATTACCTATTTATCTGACATATCGTGTTGCCGACTTTTGAAACATTGACCATATTGTTACAAAGAATCAAAACCATAGACCTTTGAACACATTTAGTGAAATGAGCTGTCTTACATTTTTCAGTCTTCTAATCACACAGTAACTGGATGGCAATACCAACCAAATTGTCTCTGACCTAAAATGACAGAAATTTTGCAAGTGTGTTTTTATCGGTTTGTTTTGAATGAGTTTGTAACAAATAACTTTTGCATTTATTAATTTGTGACCTTTGGAATCAGAGTAATAATCTTCTTCAGTTTCACCTAAGAATTAGAATTTTTTTCAAAAATATTAAGGCCCAGATTTTGTCATAATTAGCAAAGAGACAGTGCCCACCATAACTGAAGAAAACTGCCTACAAAGATTGAGTAATTGCATTGTCAATTTCACCTTTCCTGACATAGTTTGAATCTGAGATCAAATCAAATGGGATCCAGCAACAATGATGTCATCAAGCAGGCTTAGCAGTCAACCATAGTGAAGAACTATCAACAACCCAGAAGTTAAATGCAATGATTATCTTTCACTTTTTTTCAATTCATTTTACAGGATGCAAATAAAGATTGGGACATATGTATGGGATTAAGGTGGAAACTATTGTTGTAAATTTCAAGTATATATCAGTGTTTGTTTAAAAATTGGGAAAGAGCTCAATGGCATTCCAAAATAAAATGTTTTTCAGTGAAATTGTTCAGCAATAATTATGAACATAAGCTGAATCAAAAATCAAGTTACACTTCATGCAACAAAGTGCAACTATTGAGGGAGTTTAGTATAAATTTGGAAATTCTTGTCTGTTTATTTACACTTGGTTTGCAGTGGAGAATAAAGCACATATTGAAGGGTTGAATGACTGATAATTTCCTATAAATTTCCATTTTAACCATGCATGGCTATGATTCAAAGTTGCTGTGTCTGAGAGGAGTAATGCTGTTGACATTAATCATCATTAGTACAAAATCTGGAACATACTGATCAGTGAGGGAGTGACAATCCATTTATTAGCAAGGCAGACTTTGCTTGCTAAGTACAAACAAAAGATGACTTATTATGTGATTCTTTGATTAGATAGCACTTGCTAAGCAATTTTGAGTGCACTAACAGCTGTATTAACAACCAATTTAAGATAAGTCAAACTTTGATGCTTACATTAAGCTTGCTGGAAGTGACACATTCGTACACAGACCTGTTCTCTGAAAACCAAAGGAATATATACAAGCCTTGTCCTTTGAAGAATTACCTGGGAGTCTGAGAAGCCCTTATTTCTCTCCTGTAAAAACAACTATGATACTCGAATTTCAAACAATCTTGCATTTGTCTTTATGAATCAAAACAAAAAGCTTTGGAATTTCTCTTTCTTTGCCATTGCTGTAGATTTTAAATTAGTACTTCAACGTGCAACAAATAAACCATTTTTTAATTTCACTTTCTATTTGTGAAACCTTGCTGTGTATAAATTAGCTACCACATTTGCTTACATAATAACAATGTGACACTTCACATTCATTCATTGCTTGCGCAGTACTTTGAGATGATCCAAGATTGAACAAGGAATTTGTATAAAGGCAAGTGTATTTGTATTTGTGTGTTTTGGTTTATTCTAGATTAAATTCAGTTCAATGCCAGATTCTGGGGTAGAGTTACTGGTGTTCTTATTCATAGTATCAGTTTTTGTTATATGTTAACATTTATAAAATATGACCATAAAGGCACCAAATCTCAATACTTTTTCTCTCTCCATTTAGTTTAAATACTGTCTAATTGTAGAAGACATTCTTGCATCATTTAGAATAAAGACATGGCAGTTAATACAAAACTTTGCTGTTCAATAAGTGGATGTTCTGGAGTGGGAGCATAAAATTTGCAAAACTATTTGGATTTCCAGGTTATATTTCAGTATAATAATTGATTTTTAATGCCATAAATTTGGGTGTATGTCTCAATTTTATGTTAAAGTATCACCATTTACCATAAAAACATTGTTTATTCTCAATGTACAATATTAATCCTAAAAAATTTTCATGACATGCCACCAGAAAATCTTTGCCATTGGCCTGACCATTATTTGATTGTGCTCTGAAGAAATCGTTGCACTCAACCTCAACTGTTTCTCTCTTCCCACAGAACCTGATCAATTTCTTGAGGGTTTTTTAATCATTGCCTTGAATTTTGTTTGCTTAAGTTGAAATGTGGTGGTCATCTGGTATTTGGTTGAAAAAACTCTAAAGTCACAGCTTTGGTATTCCTTGTAGCTGCCAATTTGATGTTTGCAAGGACAATTTTTAATAACAACACCTAGTTGACCTACAGAACGTGTTGAGGTACTCTTTTTGAATCACTGCCCTCCGTGCTATTATGATGCTCCTACAACAATGTTCGATATAGGTTTAAGGTAGTTGATCCATTGACAAAAAAAGGATGGTGATTATACATTAAAGATAGGATGGTGTGTGGTTTGGTAGTGATCGTGTTCTTGAGCATCTTCCCTTGTTCCTGTATAGAGGGGAGGCTGCAAGTTTGGGAGTACTGCTGAAAGGCTTAACCATATGTTGCAGGACAGCTTGTAGATAATGCTCAACAAATATGGCATTGCTTGACCATAAGACCATAAAAAACAGGAACAGAACGTTCAGCCCTTTAAACCTGCTTAACCATTCAAGAGGATTGTGGCTGATGTGACATTCTTCATGTCCACTTTATTGCCTTTTCCCCTGTAACCGTCAATTCCTGTACTGATCAAGAATGTATTTATCTCAGCCTTAAATATACACCAGGACTCTGCCCCAATAACGGTTTGTTTGTGGCAAGGAGTTCCAAAGACACTCAAACCTTTAAAAGAGAATTCTTCCTCCTCCATAGTCTTAAATTGGCACCCCTTAAATCTGAGACTATGCTGTCTGCTCCTAGACTCTGCCATGAGGGGAAATATCCTTTCAACATTTACCCTGTCAAATACCTTAAGAATCTTAAATATTTCAATGAGATCACCTTTCATTCTTCTAAATTCCAGTAAATATTTAGCTTTTGTTCATAAGACAATCCCTTCATACCAGGGATCATCCTAGTGAACTTCCTTTGAAATACTTCCAATGAAATCTCTTAAATACCATACTGTAACTGCTCACAGTACTCTACAGTACCTCATACAGTTGCAGTAAGACTTAACTACTCTTATACTCCAACCCCCTTGAAATAAAGGCTAACATTTCATTAAGCCTTCCTGATTACCTGCTGTGCCTGTGTGCTTGTTTTGTCCACAAGTCTCTTTGTATTACAGATTTCTGCAGGTTTTCTCCAGATGTCCTCCTATTTCAAAGACCGCAACTTCACTACCCCCCACCCCAACCTCCGGTGATCAAAACTGCCCTCAATCGCATCTCTTGCAATTCCTGCACTTCTGCCCTCAAAACCCCTCCTCCCAACAAAAATAAAGACAGAATCTCCATGGTGCCCATTTCTGAAGAAGGGTCCCGACCCAAAACGTCAACTTTCCTGTTCCTCTGATGCTGCTTAGCCTGCTGTATTCCTCCAGCTCCACACTGTGTTAGCCCTTCCCCCCTTTTATGTTATTACCATTGCTGTTAAGTGTAGCTGAAGCCCTCGTTACTGCTCTCATTTTGCTGCAATTGTGATTAACATGAGTGCAAACAGTTTTACAGTTGCCATACAAATTCATCATAAATTTTGATGCAGCAATCCTTCAGAAACATACACCTTCCAATCATGTGCTACCACAGCAGTTCATAAGACGCGTAACGGCTGCACGTGTGCACGCCGCCAGCCATGTCCTTTAAGATGGAACGACCATACATCATAAAAACCAAAACAATTGCGGATGGTGTAAATCAGGAACAAAAACAAAGTTGCTGGAAAAGCTCAGCAGGTCTGGCAGCATCTGTGAAGGAGAAAACAGAGTTAACGTTTTGGATCCAGTGACCCTTCCTCAGAACTGATAGTGGCTGGGAAAACGTCAGTTTATATGCAGAAAATAGGGAGGTGGGTGAGGTAGGGAGTAAACAATAGGATAGAGCCCAAAGAGAGAGAAAGACAGTTGGACAGACAAAGGAGTTGCTAACCATCAGGCTGGGAGGGTGAATAGTTGTTAATGGGGACTGTTAGTGACTAACAACAGGGGCTGTGAATGGCAGGCTATGTGGTAACAAAGCCTGGTGTGTGGGGTGGGGGCTGGGACAGGAGAGAGTTTAGGCCCTAAAATTATTGAACTCAATATTGAGTCCGGACGGCTGTAGGATCCCCAAGCGGAAAATGAGGTGTTGTTCATCCAGCTTGCGTTGGGTTTCACTGGAACACTGTAGCAAGCTAGAGACAGAGATGTTGGCCAGGGAGAAGGGTGGTACATTGAAGTGGCAGACAACGGGTAGTTCAGGGTCTTTTTTGCGAGCAGAACGTAGATGTTCTGCAAAGTGATTGCCAAGTCTGTGCTTCCTTTCCCCAACGTAGAGGAGACCACATTGTCAGCAGTGAATGCAGTAGACTAGATTCTGGGAAGTGCAGGTGAAGTGTTGCTTCACCTGGAAGGTATGTTTGGGCCCTTGGATACTGGGGAGGGAGGAGGTAAATGGGCAGGTGTTGCACCTTCGCCGGTTACAGGGGAAGGTGCCATAGGGTAGTTGGGGGTGAAGGAAGTGTGGACCAGCGTCCCAGAGGGAACTGTCCCTGCGGAAGGCGGACAAGGGAGGGGACGAGAATATGTGTCTGGAGGTGGCGGAAATGGAGTCTGATGATCTTCTGGATGTGGATGCTGGTGGGATGGTAGGTAAGGATAAGGGGAACCCTATCGCTGCTGCGGGAGGGAGGAGAAGGGGTGAGAGCAGAAGGGCGGAAGATGGGTCGGACCTGGTTGAGGGCCGACCTGACGTCATGACGTCATGCCGAATGACCTGTCCCCGTCGGTGATGGCGGCGGACGTTAACGAATGGTGAGGTTGCGGTACCGTGTTAGTGTGTTGTTCTTGGCCCAGAGCCGTATTCGGTGATGTTGGAAGCAGCGGAAGATGAGGCCGCGGCCGGACGCGCGGTCCCGGTGGAGGAGGAGAGCCCGGGCCGCCTGGACGAACTGGTGTTGCGCGCAGCCGCGGTGCAGGGCGCGCGGCCGGCGGTGTGTAGTGAGCGCGAGGCGCCAGGAGTCTCCGTGTCTTACAGCTACAGCCAGGTTATTGACCTGGGAAACAGACTGCAACAAGTGCTCCACTCGCACTGTGATTTTACTCACGGTTATGTGGTTGGATTATACTGCCAGCCGACAGTAAACTTACCCAGCTGCATTTTAGGGTAAATCGTACTCCAGTTTCCTATAGTATTCCCGTCCCCGTTTATTGGGCCACTGTCGAGTTTTATGCTGAATTGTGTCAAATAGAATACGCTTTTTTGACCTGTGATTGTCTATTTTTAAATTTTAAAACGTTAATAGTTAAAGATTTTAGTCCGGTTAACAATGGATTTTTTTTAAAGCAGCAAAAGACTAGTATTGGAAGAAAAAAAGATATTTAGGTGTCCGTGTACACACGTTATTAAAAACTGCAATAAAATTAAAAGTTTATTTTGGCTTTAATTCTTATAATTTGTAATGCAAAGTGAAGGAAATGGTACTTTAGTTGCATCATACCTGGATCAGGACTCAATACTAAGTTCTGTCTTCACACCATACGTGATGAAAAATATGCTGACTTTAAAGAGTGTCCAATGCAAGTTTCCCAACATTACACTGAGATTTTAAATGTTAAATTATGAGGATGAGTTCTATAAATGAGGGTTGTGTATTGCCCTTTAATTCAGTAACTTGAAGGTAATTCAAGTTTACACATTTAAACAACTTGATATGAATAGAGAAGAGCTCTGCTGAGGGAAATTTTAATCAGAAGTAACTGTCCCTGGTTCTGATCATCCATTTCAGCACTGCACTGGACACCTTTCCTGCAATGTGAAGCCAATAATTGCTTATGTCTGAGACCCTCTAATGCATCCAATGATTTATGTTTAAGTGTAATTTTCTTGCTCTTTACTATGGCTGTTGATGTAAAGCCAATGATTCTTGGCCTTTTCAATGGCCTCATCAACTTGCATGACCAACTTCAAAATTTATGTTGTGAACCCCAGTATCTGTTTTTGTGCACTGTTTAATTTATATTTGTTCTCTTCATTTTCTTTACAAATTGCATCACCACAGTTTTCTGCACTTAAGTTGGTCTGCCGTGTGTGTGTCCACTTCAGCAGTCTAGATATACCCTGCTGACGTCTGCTACTTTATTCCTTACTGTAAAACATGTCCAAGTTTTGTGCCGTCTGC